GGTTTTTCCTTTCTCATTTCTGATTATTTTTATGTGTGTAGACTCTCCTTTTTTCTTGATAAATCTGGCTAGGGGTTTATCTATTTTGTTTATTTTCTCAAAGAACCAGCTCTTGCTTTCATTGATTCTTTCTATTGTTTTATTCTTCTCGATTTTATTTATTTCTACTCTAATCTTTATTATGTCCCTCCTTCTACTGACTTTGAGCCTCATTTGTTCTTCTTTTTCTAGTTTCATTAATTGTGAGTTTAGACTGCTTATATGGGATTGTTCTTCTTTCCTGAGGTAGGCCTGTATTGCAATATACTTTCCTCTTAGTACAGCCTTTGCTGCATTCCACAGCTTTTGCAGTGTTGAATTATTGTTGTCATTTGTCTCCATATATTGTCTGATCTCTGTTTTTATTTGGTCATTGATCCATTGGTTACTTAGGAGCATGCTGTGAAGCCTCCATGTGTTTGTGGGATTTTTCATTTTCTTTGCATAATTTATTTCTAGTTTCATACCTTCATGTTCTGAGAAACTGGTTGGTACAATCTTTTTGAACTGACTGAGGCTCTTTTTGTGCCATAGTATCTGATCTATTCTTGAAGATATTCCATGTGCACTTGAGAAGAATGTGTATTCTGATGCTTTTAGATGTAGAGTTCTTTAGATTTCTGTTAGGTCCATATAATAAAATGTAATAAAAAGAAACTGTATACTTACTTATTTTCTATATGGTGGATCTGTCCTTTGGAGTGAGTGGAGTGTTGAAGTCTCCTAGAATGGATGCACTGCATCTATTTTTCCTTTTAATCTGTTAGTATTTGTTTCACATATGTAGGTGATCCTGTGTTGGGCACATAGATATTTATAATGGTTATATCTTCTTGTTGGATTGACCCTTTTATCATAATGTAATGTTCTTCGTTGTCTCTTGTGACTTCCTTTGTCTTGAAGTCCATTTTGTCTGATACAAGTACTGCAACTCCTGCCTTTTTCTCCCTATTAGTTGCATGAAATATCTTTTTCCATCCTTCACTTTTAGTCTGTGTATGTGTCTGGGTATAAAGTGAGTCTCTTGTAGGCAGAATATAGATGGGTTCTTGTTTTTTTATCCATCCAGTGACCCCATGTCTTTTGTGTGGTGCATTATGTCCATTTACATTTAGGGTGATTATCGATAGGTATGTATTTATTGCCATTGCAGGCTTTAGATTTTTGGTTACCAAAGGTTCAAGGTTAGCTTCCTTACTATCTAAGAGACTAACTTAACTCATTTAATATGCTATTAGAAACACAATCTAAAAGTTCTTTTTTTTTTCTCCTTTTTCTTCCTCCTCCATTCTTTATGTATTAGGTATCATATTCTGTACTCTTTGTCTATCCCTTGATTGACTTTCATGATAGTTAATTTAATTTTGTATTTGCTTAGTAATTAGCTGTTCTACTTTCTTTACTGTGGTTTTATTGCCCCTGGTGATAGCTATTAAACCTTAGGAACACTTCCATCTATAGCAGTCCCTCCAAAATACCCTGTAGAGGTTGTTTGTGGGAGGTAAACTCCCTCAACTTTTGCTTATCTGGAAATTGTTCAATCTGTCCTTCAAATTTAAATGATAATCTTGCTGGATGAAGTAATCTTGGTTCAAGGCCCTTCTGCTTCATTGCATTAAATACATCATGCAACTCCCTTCTGGCCTGTAAGGTTTCTGCTGAGAAGTCTGATGATAACCTAATGGGTTTTGCTTTGTATGTGATCTTATTTCTCGCTGCGGCTGCTTTTAATGGTCTGTCCTTATCCTTAATCTTTGCCATTTTAATTACTATATGTCTTGGTGTTGTCTTCCTTGGGTCCCTTGTGTTGGGAGATCTGTGGATCTCCATGGCCTGAGAGACTATCTCCTTCCCCAGATTTGGAAAGTTTTCAGCAATTACCTCCTCAAAGACACTTTCTATTCCTTTTTCTCTCTTCTTCTTCTGGTACCCCTATAATGCAAATATTGTTCCGTTTGGATAGGTCACACAGTTCTCTTAATATTCTTTCATTCTTAGAGATCCTTTTTTGTCTCTGTGCCTTAGCTTCTTTGTATTCCTCTTCTCTAGTTTCTATTTCATTTATCTTCTCCTCCACAATATCTAATATGCTTTTAATTCCCTCCATTGTGCTCTTCAACAGTTGGAGCTCCTACCAGAATTCATTCCTGATTTCTTGAATATCTTTCCATACCTCCATGAGCATGTTAATGACTTTTATTTTGAACTCCCTTTCAGGAAGATTCATGAGGTCGATGTCATTTAAATCTTTCTCAGGAGTTGTATTAATAATTTTACTTTGAAGCAGGTACCTTTGGTGTTTCATATTTGTATATGGCACCCTCTAGTGCCCAGAAGCTCTTAACTCTGGAGCTTCTCAGCCCCTGAAGCAATGTCGGGGGTCACAGGGGAGTGGTATTCATGACTGGGGGGAGGAAAGAACTGTTTCCTGCTTCCCAGCTGCTATGCCTGTCTCCACTGCCTTAACCAGTAGGCCGAGCACACAGGTATTAGCCTCTATGCTTTGCGTTTGTAGTTGTTGTAGACAGGTCTTCCCTCTGGCTGGCCTACTGCAAGGGTAGGGTTTGCGAGTTTGCAAGCTGAGTGGGGCTGACCGGGAGAAAGGTGCAGTAGGCTGTGTATCATGGAGGGGGTCCTTGGAGCTGTGCATCCTGCCAGGGAGCTGGAACACCTGAAGATTGTGAAAATTCCCAACTGCTGGGAAGAGTGCACCTGGACACTTTTGTCTACCTGTTCTTTCTCCTGAGCAGTAAGCTCTGTGCAGTCCTTCCCCCTTTAGCAGCCCTCTTGCTGTTAGGAATTCTCTCAGACTGCCTGCCTTTCTTTTGTCCCAGAGCAGCCGGAATAGATCCCTGCTTTCCACAAGTGGCTGAAATCTCAGTCTCTCCAGGAATTCTGCCTGTCTTAGCTTTCCAACCCCCTAATCATGAGAGTACCATGCAAGCAACATGAAATGTAGGTTTGTGCTCCCAGAGCAGATCTCTGGAGTTTGGTATTCAGCAGTCCCAGACTTCCACTCCCTCCCCACTCTGTTTCTTTTCCTCCTGCTGGTGAGCTGGGTCCCACCAGGCCATGGCTTTGGTACATTACCCTGTTCCCTGAGGTCTGCACTTTTCTCCAGGTGTATGTAGTCTGGCGCAGTCCTCTTTCCTGTTGCTCTTTCAGGATTAGTTTTATTAATTATATTTTTGTATTATATGCGGTTTTAGGAGGAAGCCTCTGTCTCACCTCTCATGCCACCATATTTAATCCTCCATGTTATCTTTGCTTGCTTATGTGAGTAAATCTATAGGAAAGATTGTTAGACATAGCATTACTGGGTCAAAGTGTATACATATGTAACGGTAACTTTATGATAGTTGTTGTCAAACTGCTTTTCAACACAAGTTGTAACAGTTTACATTATCACTAACTAAACCCTCATCAACATTAGATACCATTAATCTTTATAATCTTTGTCAGTCAGGCAAAATGTTCCTTAATTTATGTTTCTTTGCTTATTAGTGAAATATCTTTTCACATTAATTAGCCATTTATGGTTCTTCCATTAATGCCTATTAATCTTCCCTTATTTGTCTATTGTGATTTTGTCTTTTTTATATTGATTTATTATTATTGGTGGTTCCTTATTATACTGGCCTCAAATATATCCTCCTAGTATGTTTTTGATCTTTTAGCTTTCATGGTTTTTTTCCAATATAGTCAAATTTGTGAATCTTTTCTTTTATGGCTTCTGATTTTGCATCATACCTAAGAAATGTCTCCCATCAGCATTTTATGTTTTCTTCTAAAATCTTATTTATGTTTTACATTTAAATATTTAATACACCTAGAATTTATTTGTCTATATTATATAAATGTGGTATTTTATTTTTATTGTAAAAATAAGTTTGTATTGATAATTTATCCTTTTATACTGATTTGGAGACCACCACAATACTTCATAGTATATAATCATATGCTAAATATATATGGATCTGTTATCTGTGTTACTCCAGTGATACATCTTTTATTCTACCAATACTGAAGATTGTTTTATAATTTACATTAATTGTGCAGTTTTTTTCTTTTTCAAAGATTTTTTGACAGTTTTCATATATTTACTCTTCCAGATGAAACTCAGAAATTTAGATTTTAAGAATACATTTATATTTGACCTTATTTTTTTGTACTTATGTAAGCCATCTCAACATCTGTTTAGAATAAGCCAGGTATTAATTAATATAAAATCAAGAGAAAATAACATCAATATAAAATATAATGTAAAATCAAGTCCCAGTGAAGGCAATGCTGCACCAACAGCAATAAATCCTGATTTATTAGGAACAAGTTCCATAAAAAGAATGAAAATTCTCCCCACAGAGCATTTATTTACTTTTCTCATTTTTTATTATTATGCAATGAATATGCTTATTGGTGAAAAGGAAAAGAGTATAAAAGCAAACCTGTATGCTGCTTTCAGAGGATGCAAAGGAAGTGAGGTTGCTAATAAGACCTACTTTAGACAGAAAGCAGTCTCGGAAGAATAAGGACTCCTCATGTTAGTGTATTTGGAGGCACCTGGAAAGAAAATTTGTGCCACCAATGTCCTTAATGCCCTAAAAGATGTACAGAATAAATTAATGCTGACTGAGGCACAAAAGTGGGCCTGGGGTTGAATTGATTGGAACCCCTGTTTTTCTTCTATAATGTTATTTTCTCTCAATTTCAGTATCTCTCTCTTTCTCTTTTCTTTCTTCCCTTCCCTGCCTTCCTCCTCTACTCAGTCCTTCTGTGTATGTGTATGTGTTTATAACAGGTGGTGTGCAGGAGGATGGAAGGTGGAATTGGAAGGATGTTTATGAAATAAACATTTGTTTTATTTTCTATGAAAAAATGGTACTCTAAAAATTTGGAATCAATAATAGTTATAATCTCCTTGTAGATATTTGCATTTAATATATCATCTTTTTTTCTTTCAGAAAATAGGAAAATAGCAACTAAGCCTGATCCAAAGCAACACCTTAAGATTATTCAGGATCCTGAATATAGACGGCTTGGCTGTACTGTAGATATGAACATTGCACTAGCAACTTTCATACCACATGAGTATGTTATGTATTTTTCCTGTGAAGTAAATAATATTACTTATAAATATTATTATTTTCATACTAGTATTATTTTAGTATTATTTCATACTATTCATTAAAAGCCTGCATAGAAAATGAAATAAAGTAATTCACCTAATTTTGCTACTTCAAACACCTGACATTTACTCCTTTTTCTGTGTCCTGGTCCATGTTCTTATACATATTAATAAAAATTTTTACAATTGAAAAACATCTCCAGTCATAGTTAAGATCCTAATGAATATGTTTAAAGTTTCTATGACCCTTGTTAGAAAAATTTTAAATACAGAATTTTTAAATCTTTGATAATAAGTTTGCATTACTCTATCTCCTCTAGTAACGGACCAGCTGCAATTGATGAATGCTGTAATTGGTTCTGTAAGAGAATTGAGGAATTAAATTCAGAGAAGCATCAACTCATAAACTGTCATCATGAACAGGTTTTACCTACTTTTGAACTGCAGTTTTTCTTTGACTTAATACTGGTTTTTTTATTGCTCTTATTGATGTAACTTAATGTTTTCTAGGCAGTCAATTGCATTTTGGGAAATGTGTTTTATGAACGACTGGCTGGCCATGGTCCTAAACTAGGACCTGTCACTAGAAAACATCCTTTAGTTACCAGGTATTATATTTTTGTATACCTCTCATTGAAGGTTTAAAATCAAAAATTGTATTTAAGTTTTCAAATTAACCTTTAATGTGTCACTTCAGTACATTTCTGAAATTGAAATAGAAGTTTTGATTTGGTAACTAGGCTTAATATTAATTAATTTTATTTGGCAAATCTTTAGTTAGAGAAGCTATCATCAGTATGAGCCAATTTGTAATCATTTACATAAATGTTTCTGGAGGACTACATACTTATTAGTAAATTCAGTGTTAATCACATTGAGTGAGCCTTTAGTTCCTTATAAGTAATAGGCAGTATAGATTAGACAGCTAAAATATAGTAAAAGATTTTGCAAGGTAATATCAATAGTTCATTGATTTTCTTAGTAATTTTATGAGATTTTTAAAGTTATTATTTAAAATGCTATCCAAATATGCTAAGACTCCATTCCTCCAATCCTGTTAGATTAACTTAAAAAGTCTTCTGAAGATTTTTTACCTATATTGAAGTTTATTTCCTATAAATGGTATCAAACTAACCTTATTTATTCTACTCATTATGGAAGAAAGTCAATTTCAATAGTGCTAATTCAGATTCTCTCCAAGGGGTTTCTCTGTATGGATTTAATACCTACTTGTATCTCCATAGATATTTTACTTTCCCATTTGAGAAAATGACCCTCTCTGCAGAAGAAGCTATGATTCATCTTCCAAATAAAGCTTGTTTTCTGATGGCATATAATGGATGGGTAATGGGAGATGATCCCCTTCGAAACTTTGCTGAACCAGGTACATCACTTTTGTTAACTTCTCTATGGATAGGAAAAGAAAAGTTCATGGCAAGCTAAAAATATAAACTCTTTCATTGATTTTTTTTTTCCCCACAAGACTAGTAGCTTTTTAACTGTTTCATCACAGGGATGCCAGAAGTACATACCTTTTGAGAGAAAAGGGATTGATAGAAAGAATGGGATTCATCATTTCTTTTCCCCTACTTTCTCTTCAAACAGAATGGCTTTTATGTATCTATCTTATATTATGGTTCTGTGTAAGATTTTATTTGGGCAAAAATTTATTCTAATATATTTATTTTAAAGACATTGGAAACCATTGTTATGGCAAGTATATTGCCAGAAGAGATTTTTTCACTAATTAGCCAGAGAAGTATTAAGGTATTTGAATGACAGTTAAACTAGAAACTACAGTTGACCCTTGAACAATGCAGGGTTAGGAACACCAAAAATTTGTGTATAACTTTGACTTCCCAAAAATTTAACTACTAATAGCTACCTATTGACCAGAGGGAAGCCTTACTGATAGTACAAAGTTGATTAACACATATTTTGTATGTTACAAGTATTATACTGTATTTTTACAATAAAGTAGGCTAAATAAAAGACTTTTTCAAATTGTTGCAGGTCTCCAAAAAATTTTCCAATTTATTTGAGAAAAATTTACATGTAAGTAGATCTGTGTGGTTCAAACCCATGTTGCTCAAGAGTCAACTGTAATTGTTTTTAGGTTTCCTCTTACTTGCTCCTAGCATCTTATTTTCTCTATAGCTTTTTTCATTACCAGTAAGAATTTTGCAGGGGGCCCATCAATGTATTTATTTTTCAACATTTCAGAGCTAAAATTATGTTTTAATAACATTAAATTTAATTTTAAAATCCCATTTCTTAAAAAAGAATATAACTGTATTTAACTACCTCTGCCCTCTCCTTTCTAGCCATTCTAAATGAAAAAAAGCCATTTTGCTGTATGCCATGGATTTAATTATAACCTGTTGTCAAAAATGGCTAGGGACGTGGGGATGGAGCTTTAAATGTTTTTGGTAAAACTATAGCTTTAAGGAGCCTATGATATCACTATTACTGTTTTCCTTTAAGAAGCATCTTGAATTTTGACATTAGGCACACATTCTTAGACTAAAAACCAGAATTTTAACAAAATAGATACGAAATATGAATTATTCATTTTTAAAACCTTACCCAATACAATTTTAGGTATAATTTTAAACAGTATATGGTTTGTGATAGAAATAGTCAATGCAATTTTAAAACAGGAGTGTTTCCTTGAAGCAGTTGTTTTCATTTTATTTCTTGAACCATTGAAAGGAAACTACTTTCTTAACAGGTTCAGAAGTTTATCTAAGGAGAGAACTTATTTGCTGGGGAGACAGTGTTAAATTACGCTATGGGAATAAACCAGAGGACTGTCCTTATCTCTGGGCACACATGAAAAAATACACTGAAATAACTGCGACTTATTTCCAAGGAGTACGTCTTGATAACTGCCACTCAACACCTCTTCATGTAGCTGAGGTACTGAAGCACTATTCATCTACACAAACAAAAGATAATCAGTATTCTTTCCTAGCTTTCTTTAAATAGACTATGCAGATACCCGGTTCTTTTTTCTAGTTGGATACCAGCATTGATTTGGTGGTAATATTTAACACTTATAAAGTTGCACAATTCTAACAGAATCTTTTGATTCAGTTGTTATGGAATATTGGGCTATAAATTATTTAACAAGTTTTATTTTTATTTAAATTTAGGGAAGTAGATCGTATTGTCTTGATAGTATATACACAACCATATTGCCATATGTTATGAAACTATTGTTAATATTTAATATTAATGTTTTAAAAATTAATATTAGTACTTTAATAATATATAAATATTAATTTGCCTTATTCTTGTTATTAAGTTCTTTTTAATGTATTAATAGACATTCTGAAGTTGAGTAGTTTCTAGTGGTTATTTAAACCCTAACATTACATCATATAGAAGCTAGTTTTAGCCTGATTGATTTAATTTTTTATTATTTATAAAAATGTAAATGCAACCATGAGAGTTCTTTTTTTCTCTTTGGGCTTTTATAATAACTTAAACCATGCCAACATTTATAGCATTATCTTCTACCTAATACAGCTTTGTAAACACTTATAATTTTCATCCTTTTTATAAGAACTTTGATAGCTTCCTATTGACAACTTAGTGTTCTTCAGAAATGTGTGTTAATCTGAGAAACATCTATTTCTATAATTTTAAAATGGTACTATGTATGTTTTGAGTCTGTGATAAAAAGTTGATTTGATTTGGAAGAATTTAATAAACATTCGTTAAGGTGGTAGGATATTTTTTAGCTCTAAAAACTGGCAGAGGTTTCTTTTATTGTGCCTTTAGCAAAAAATACAACAGCAAAAAAATATACGCTTGAAAGGTTGTTAAAACATTATGGCAAAACAGAAAATTAAAACTTAATTTGCTTAATTTAAGTTAAAAATCCACTAGGATCCTACTTGTTAGCTGATAGAATTTCAAGTACTCTATTAACCTTTGCTCAAATATGATGTTAAAATTGCAAGTGGTCTGATTTCTGATTAAGAGTTTATTATCATCTGTAGGAAAAGCTAGTCAGTCAGACCTAATCTTTGCAGTAGCAAATAATTCACAAGAAGGGAATTTATCAATGTCATAGTCAATTGTCTGGAAATTAATAGTCTGATTATAACTATTAAAAATAAACACACATAAAATGGGGAAAGACTATCAGAATTGCAACATTATGGTTTACATTTTTTAATGTGATAGTGACATTTTTCTTCTTCCTGTTTTTCTCCCTTTTGTCCCTGTATCTTTGCAAAATGTAATCTTTCTTTTTAACTTTTATTTTCTTTATAATTTCTTGTTTCTTGTGTGTATTGGTCTGTCTTATGTTTTCCTACAAATGCAAAATTAAATTCATTTGGAAATTCTTCTTGGATTTTCATTTTGCCTTGCTATGTGGTATTTTCCTATGTCAAACCTATGCCTAGTCTTGCCTCTGCTTCTCCCCCTCATCTTGCTTTTCTCTTTCTGTTACATTTGTGACTATGTTTTTTGCAGTACATGTTGGATGCTGCTAGGAAATTGCAACCCAATTTATATGTAGTAGCTGAACTGTTCACAGGAAGTGAAGACCTGGACAATATCTTTGTTACTAGACTGGGCATTAGTTCCTTAATAAGAGGTAGGCTTTAGTTTTTGTTTAATTAAAAAGCATTTGTAGCTTTATATTTAATGTTTAGTCATTTTTAACATAGGTGATGTTCTTTTAAATATTGTGCACAAATTTTCTAATATAACTCCATCTGTTTTTATCAATGAAAATTTCTGCTTCAGGGTAAAATACCTCATTTTAAAATCAAAGACCAGTGGGATGAATTGATGACTCACAAATTAAACCATTTTTTTTGTTGAAAATACACAAATCTGTTTTTCATTTCCTACTAGGATATATAATGTAATTCTTAGATTTTTTCCCAAAGATTTTATTTAACCAACATTCTATTAAACAACATGTGTTTCCTCTTACCTGCATAAGGCATTTCTCTGGTTAAGTAATAGAGACTGTTTTTGTCAGTTAAACTAGTGGACATTTGTTTAAATGTTTAAAGCAGTTCTATTTTTGGTAGTATTTATGTGGCCTTTTTTTGAAAGTCAGTCATGATAAGAAATCTAATCTCTTCTCAGAGACTAATAATGAAAATTGTTAAAATATTCTGTAATGGTTTGCAGAGGCAATGAGTGCAAATAATAGTCATGAAGAGGGCAGATTAGTTTATCGATATGGAGGCGAACCTGTTGGATCCTTTGTTCAGCCCTGTTTGAGACCTTTGATGCCAGCTATTGCACATGCCCTGTTTATGGATATTACCCATGATAATGAGTGTCCTATTGTGGTAAGCATCTCCTCTCTTTCTTGTATTTACTTACTTTGCTAAATGTTTTAATATTTACTTCTCTGATATTTAGTGGCAACAATACTTCAAAATAATGTCTTAGATTTATAAGTGATTGTGGTACATAGTTTTTGAATGTTATTTGCTTTAAAGAAAATTAATGTATCTTATAGAATGTATTTATGTAACTATCCTCTTATTTCATTATGCTATAGGATGGCACTTTGCATTTGAAAGAAAAAAACTTGTGTCTTTTATTGTTTTCTAGCACAGGTCAGAATATGATGCTCTTCCAAGTTCCACAGTTGTCTCTATGGCCTGCTGTGCCAGTGGAAGTACTAAAGGCTATGATGAATTAGTGCCACATCAGGTTTGTTCATGTATTGTTTTTAAAGTCTACATGGCCAACAACGTTGAGCATTTTTACCAAAAATCCCCATTGTAATTAAAGTATATACATTGCTAAGTTTTAACTTTGTTCAGATTTCAGTGGTTTCTGAAGAACGGTTTTACACTAAGTGGAATCCTGCAGCATTGCCATCAGATACAGGTGAAGTTAATTTCCAAAGTGGAATTATTGCAGCCAGGTGTGCTATCAATAAACTTCATCAAGAGCTGGGGGCCAAGGGTTTTATTCAGGCAAGAAACTAAGTTTTCTAAGTTTCTTTCTCAAGATTCAATTTCAGAGTAAGTCTTTCCATTTTGAGCATAACATGTTTTCTCTCTTTCTCAGGTTTATGTGGATCAGGTTGATGAGGACATAGTAGCAGTAACAAGACACTCACCTAGTATCCATCAGTCTATTGTGTCTGTGTCTAGAACTGCTTTCAGGAATCCCAAGACTTCATTTTACAGCAAGGAAGTGCCTCAAATGTGCATCCCTGGTAATGTAATCTAAAAACATTATTGTGATTATATCGTATTGTTATATTAAACCATACTATGTTATATTGCATTGCTGTTTTTATAATATATTATATATATTATAACACTGTGCAAGTGTGGATGTAGGTGAGAAAAAGAACTAGAAAATTTGGTAACATATATTTTTTACTACATGGAACAGAGCCTGGACAGAAATATTCTCAAATGTTAATACTAGTTATTGCATACCTCCAATTTTTACAAATGATCAACTTGAATAATTTTATGGTTAAATGTTCATTTGTTTTTTTTAGCTGTTCTAAATTTATATTAGTAATTTTGTCTGATTGTTAGTAATGTGAATATATAGTTTTACATGGCTGGAGTCAGTATGTGCAATGTCATCTCAGGTTTTGTTTTAGTCACTGATCATTCTTAAAGCATTCCCATTTTGTCAGTCCATAAACTATGATTTTCATTATGTTAAATGTTTCATATTATGTTAGTATTTCATTTTTAATATTCTTTAGTCTGTTTAGCATTATTCTTGTTTTAAATATACACTGGAATAATTTTTTCTTTTGAGCAATATTCTTTATATTTATTTCAACAAATAGAATGTCTGGATCTAAAGGTATTGTTAGTTATTGTTAGATTAATGGCTTCAAGCTTAAATTATTTAAACAATAAAGTTAAAGTTTTATTTATCTTTTGACCCAATGGTTCTACTCCTAGAAACTCATACATTTCAGTAGAAGTGAGCACAAGAATATTCATTGAAACACTATTTATAAAATAAGAAAAAATTAGTGACAGTGTTAATAGAATAAATTTTCATATATTCATGCAGTGGAATATTATTCGGCATTTGAAATAAATGAGCTAGAGTTAATGTAGCATTGTGAACAAATCTAAAAAATACAGTGTTGTCCAGTAGAAAGTAAGTTGAAAAAATGTACATATAATTTGAATCCACTTTACTAAAACTTGGAAATAAGGAAAATAATATATGTTGACTAGGGAAACATACATTTTAGATAATTGTACTGCATCAGTGAACACCAAACTGCAGGTAGTGGCTACCTCTGAAGGGGAAAAATGGGTGGGTACACAGGGGCTTTGGTTATTTTGTAATGTTTTCTTAAACTAGATAGTAGGATCTGGGTTTTTCAAAATTTTCCCTACCTTTTATATTTCTGAAATACTCTATTTTTTAAAAATATAAGCCTTTCTAGTTATGTTTTTCTCTTTGCTCAAAATTAGGAAGGTCATATTGTTCCTCAAAGCTAAGCTGTTGTTATTTGATAAGATCTCTTTTAAAATGAACCTTTCTTAATTTATGATTTTAAAAACAAAAAGCATTGTGTGAAAAATGCATCTTGTATAGAATCATCAACTTTCAGACTGTTCTGTATTTTTTAACTGATATTTCATATTCAGCTTAAATGATTTAAAACACCTTTAGCAATTCCTAGTTTCAGATAGTTTAACATGAAATTTTGTTAAAATATTTATATATTCCTAGGCAAAATTGATGAAGTAGTTCTTGAAGCCAGAACTATTGAAAGAAACACAGATCCTTATAAGAAGGATGAGAATTCAATAAATGGAATGCCAAATATCACAGTAGATATTAGAGAACACATCCAGGTATTTGGGACTCCCATCTTACTACTGTGTTTAACATTTTAAGAATATTAGAATTATTTATTGAATGCTCTTATATAATTTTTTTCAAGCTTAATGAAAGTAAAATTGTTAAACAAGCTGGGGTTGCCACAAAAGGACCCAATGAATATATTCAAGAAATAGAATTTGAAAACTTATCTCCAGGAAGTGTTATTATATTCAGGTATGTTAATTAGAGTTCAAATTATTGACTTTGTTTATAATTTAAAATAGTTTACATAGCCTGTTAATTTTGAATAGATCACTCCTAAAACTAACCATTTTTTAATTAACATTTTCAGAGTTAGTCTTGACCCACATGCCCAAGTCGCTGTTGGAATTCTTCGAAATCATCTGACACAGTTCAGTCCTCACTTTAAATCTGGGAGCCTTGCTGTTGACAACTCAGATCCTATATTGAAAATTCCTTTTGCTTTGTAAGTCAACCTTATTTTACAGAGTTTTGCCACTTCAGTAACTGATAAATTACCCCAAGTCTGATTTAAGCAGTTTTAAGGGTCCTCTATATCCTTGGTGGTCCAAGGGCCAATACTGTTCGCATCCCCTGTTAACATTTGTCCTCTTGCTTTATCATTTGTGTGCATGCTTGCATGTCCATCCTCTCACATTCATGCACTCTCTATAAATAGATACAGATAGATGCATACATATACAAACACATATACATCTCTATGTACACATACATACGCGCACACAGTGTTTCTGAACTGTTGGAAACTAAGTTGTATACATTATACTTCATACCACACCATTTCTTTTTCTTAATTTTTTTTATTTTAGTATCATGAATCTACAATTACATAAGGAACATTATGTTTACTAGAATCCTCCCATCACCAAGTCCGCCCCACAAACCCCATTACAGTCACTGTCCATCAGCGTAGTAAGATGCTATAGAATCACTTCTTGTCTTCTCTGTGTCTTATAGCCCTCCCCATGCCCCCTGCCCACATTATACATGCTAATCATAATGCCCCCTTTCTTTCCTCACCCCTTATCTCTCCCTTCACAGCCATCCTCCCCAGTCCTTTCCCTTTGGTAACTGTTAGTCCATTCTTGGGTTCTGTGATTCTGCTGCTGTTTTGTTCCTTCAATTTTTCTTTGTTCTTATACTCCACATATGAGTGAAATCATTTGGTACTTGTGTTTCTCCGCCTGGCTTATTTCACTGAGCATAATACCCTCTAGCTCCATCCATGTTGTTGCAAATGGTAAGATTTGTTTTCTTCTTATGGATGAATAATATTCCATTGTGTATATGTACCACATCTTCTTTATCCATTCATCTACTGGTGGACACTTAGGTTGCTTCCATTTCTTGGCTATTGTAAATAGTGCTGTAATAAACATAGGGGTGCATCTGTCTTTTTCAAACTGGGCTGCTGCATTCTTAGGGTAAATTCCTAGAAGTGGAATTCCTGGGTCAAGTGGTATTTCTATTTTGAGCTTTTTGAGGAACCTCCATACTGCTTTCCACAATGGTTGGAAATTCCCACCAGCAGTGTAGAAGGGTTCCCCTTTTTCCACAACCTCGCCAACATTTGCTGTTGTTTGTCTTTTGGATGGTGGTGCTCCTTACTGGTGTGAGATGATATCTCATTGTAGTTTTAATTTGCATTTCTCTGATGACAAGTGATGTGGAGCATCTTTTCATGTGCCTGTTGGCCATCTGAATTTCTTCTTTGGAGAAGTGTCCATTCAGCTCCTCTGCCCATTTTTCAATTAGATTATTTGCTTAATGTTTATTGAGGTACATGAGCTCTTTATATATTTTGTATGTCAACCCTTTATCGGATATGTCATTTATGAATATATTCTCCCATACTGTAGGTTGCCTTTTTGTTCTATTGGTGGTGTCCTTTGCTGTCCCACTTGTTCATTTTAGGTATTGTTTCCCTTGCCTGGGGTGATATGTTCATGAAGAAGTCGCTTATGTTTATGTCCAAGAGATTTTTGCCTATGTTTTTTTCTAAGAGTTTTATGGTTTCATGACTTACATTCAGGTCTTTGATCCATTTCGAATTTACTTTTGTGTATGGGGTTAGACAGTGATCCAATTTCATTCTTTTACATCTAGCTGTCCAGTTTTGCCAAAACCAGCTGTTTAAGAGGCTGTCATTTCCCCATTGTATATCCATGGCTCCCTTATCATATATTAATTGACTGTATATGTTTGGGTTAATATCTGGGCTCTCTATTCTGTTCCACTGGTCTTTGGGTCTGTTCTTGTGCCAGTACCAAATTGTCTTGATTACTGTGGCTTTGTTGTAGAGCTTGAAGTTGGGAAGCGAGATCCCCCTGACTATTCTTCCTTCTCAGGATTGCTTTGGCTATTCGGGGTCTTTTGTGGTTTCATATGAATTTTAGAACTATTTGTTCCAGTTCATTGAAGAATGCTGTTGGTATTTTGATAGAGATTGCATTGAATCTGTAGATTGCTTTGGGCAGGATGGCCATTTTGACTATATTAATTCTTCCTAGCCAACACCATGGGATGAATTTCCATTTGTTAGTGCCCTCTTTAATTTCTCTCAAGAGTGTCTTGTAGTTTTCAGGGTATAGGTCTTTCACTTCCTTGGTTAGGTTTATTCCTAGGTATTTTATACTTTTTGATGCAATTGTGAATGGAATTATCTTCCCAATTTCTCTTTCTGTTAACTCATCATTAGTGTATAGGAAACAAACAGATTTCTCTGTATTAATTTTTTGTCCTGCAACTTTGCTGAATTCACATATTAGTTCTAGTAGTTTTGGAGTGGCGTCTTTAGGGTTTTTTTATATACAATATCATGTCATCTGCAAATAGTGTTACCTTGACTTCTTCTTTAACAGGCTGGATGCCTTGTATTTCTTTGTTTTGTCTGATTGCTGTGGCTAGGACCTCCAGTAACAGTGGGGTGAGTGGGCGTCCCTGTCTTGTTCCCAATCTTGGAGAAAAGCTTTCAGCTTATCACTGTTAAGTATAATGTTGGCTGTGGGTTTGTTATATATGGCCTTTATTATGTTTAGGTACTTGCCCTCTATGCCCATTTTGTTGAGAGTTTTTATCATGAATAGATGTTGAATTTTGTCGAATGCTTTTTCAGCATCTATGGAGATTATCATGTGGTTTTTGTCCTTGTACCATCCTTGCATCCCTGGGATGAATCCTACTTGGTCATGGTGTATGATCTTCTTGATGTATTTTTGAATTCGGTTTGCTAATATTTTGTTGAGTGTTTTTGCATCTGTGTTCATCAGGGATATTGGTCTGTAATTTTCTATTTTTGGTGGGGTCTTTGCCTGGTTTCGGTATTAGGGTGATGCTGGTTCCATAGAATGAGTCTGGAAGTATTCCCTCCTCTTCTATTTTTTGGAAAACTTTAAGGAGAATGAGTATTATGTCTTCTCTGTATGTCTGATAAAATTCCACGGTAAATCCATCTGGCCCAGGGATTTTGCGCTTTGGGTAGTTTTTTGATTACCACTTCAATTTCTTTGCTGGTAATTGGTCTGTTTAGATTTTCTGTTTCTTCCTTGGGCAGTCTTGGAAGGTTGTATTTTTCTAGGAAGTTGTGCATTTCTTCTAGGTTTTCCAACTGGTTAGTATATACATTTTCATAGTATTCTCTAATAATTCTTTGTATTTCTGTGGGGTCTGTTTTGCTCTTTCCTTTCTCATTTCTGATTCTGTTGATTTGTGTAGATTTCCTTTTTCTCTTAATAAGTCTGGCTAGGGGTTTATCTATTTTGCATATAAAATACATATTCCTGCTCAGACCTACTCAGATTATCTAGGAGCAAGGCCAAGAAATCTGCATTTTAATAAGCTGTCAGGTAATTTTAATGCAGGGAGTTCACCTGCTACATGTTGAAAAAAATGCTGCCAGAGTTGGTGCCAAGAGTGCTCGCAGATTAGCCTCAGACATCACTCACAAACTGCTGAGGAAGGATGTTTTATTCCCACCTGGGAGCATGGGGATGGAAGAATCAGAGGGAACAACAAAGCACAGCCAGCAATTTTCTAAGTTGAGGCAGAGCTAGAAAGAAAAGAAGGAAGTACATTCAAGGGGATGTGTGTTCACATAAAATTCAAGAGGCTTTGTCAAATGAAATTATCCAAACAGCTAGAAGTACAAGTAGGATTTCAGTTTTTTCAGGTGGGTTAGTTTTACCACCTCACTGCTAACTGAACAAAGGGAAATCAAGGCTATGATAGTTAGATACTTCCCTCTGATCATTATCAAGAAACAAAATCCTGGTTTCTTGAAAAACCAAGCTGAAGGACAATGCAATCTTAGGAGAGGAGAGAAGAGAAAAAGAAATACAAAGAGTAGTAACTGATTTCTAAAGTGGTGAACTTTTACTTTTGATTATCTCTTTACTGGTTCTTTGATAAGTATTTTGAGTTTAAGATAATTAGCATAAAAAGTTATCAATGTCACACATAAGAGAATATAAAGAAGGGAAAAAGCTAAGCCCGAACTAGAAAGATTAAAAAAGCAAATTTATGAGATAAAGGATATAGCAACCAAAAGATTATTCTAAGATACTTCTAATTAATAATTTGGTACTTATTTATTCCCTTGATTTGGAAGAAATGTTACTTCTAATTGAATTTTTAACATATCTTATCTTTTGATTGTTATTTTCAATATATATTATTTATAATGTATATTATAATGCTGAGTTCCTAAAGCATGCATTATTAAGATACTTTATGTTTATGATTTAGATTTTCTTCTGTATTTTTATTGACAGCAAATGAAATTTTATGGTATTTAACCATTTCTCTTTATTTTCTACTTAGTATTGCCTCTAAATTAACTTTGGCTGAGCTGAATCAGGTACTTTACCGAAGTGAATCAGAAGAACGAGAAGATGGTGGAGGGTGTTATGACATACCAAACTGGTCATCTCTGAAATATGCGGGTCTTCAAGGTAAGCAAATGTAAAGATAATTAAGCTTCTTGAGCATTTTTTTTACAGTCGTTTGGTATCTTCTTTAAGAAATAAGAGTATGAGCTCAGAATTCGGCTGCCTGTCTTCAAATTATGGCTCTGCCACCTACTCATTGATTGACCTCTGTCAAGTAACTTCTCCATGCCACAATTTCTACCTATATAGAAGGTGAAAAATATTGTCTAATTTATAGGCTTTTTTGAAGATTTAGTGCGATCATTTATTTGAGCCCAAAATGGAACTAGGCTGTAAGTATAATGCATTCATCTTCCTGTTTCATCCTACTGGAAATATATTTTTTTGCTGCATATTTGCTTTATCCTACAAAGAGATCTTACAGTAAAATATTATGTAGTTAGAGTAGTTGTTAAGACAGGATGTAGGAACTAGATATTTACCAATATAATCTATCTGGTTGATAATATTTTCTTAGACTTTGTCTAGGAAATTTGGCTAATCACACATACATTCTTGGTTGGTACAGTTTCCGTGTATCATGCCTCCTTGCAATTCCTCCTTCTTTCTTTGTCCACCTAACCCATCTTTAAGGGCCAATTCAATTCATATGTCTTCCAGGAAACATTCCTTAACTATTACTTTTCACAGTAATTTCTTTGTCCCCTGGACACCCATTGTATTTATTTACTATACCTCTTACTTGACCCTTGGAATACATTGCCTTATTTTAATAATCAGTACAATGTTTTCTGTGAATGATTTTCATTGTAGTTAAGAAATGGACTTTAGAGCCAGACTACCTGTGTTATACTGACTAGCTGTTTGACCTTGGTGTAAACACTTCGTGGCTCAGTTTTCTCATTGATAAAATGGAAACAGTAACAGGACCTGCCACAAGGAGTTACTGTTAGGGTTACATCAGTTAGTACATGGAAAGCACTTACACAGCATTTAGTTCATAGTGAGTACTTGGCAGATGCTTTGATTGTTCCTTGAGAAAGAAGAGTATTTGCCTTTTTTGGAGTTCTTGTTTTTAGAATGCATATTTTCTACCAAACCAAGCACATAAGAAGCGCTCATCAAATTTTTGGGACTTTTTGGACTTAGAACATTTGATTTTTTTCTAAAACATTCTCATTTTCAGCACAAAATGTTTTATGCTGAGAGTAATGTTAGAATCTTAAATAGATATCTACTCCATTTTCACTCTCAGCTGTTGAACTCCTTCCACTTGACTGAAAAGATCACACATTTATAAACTTTTCTAGCCTTTGTCTTTTTTAGAGTCTAGTTCTTTATTCTCTTTACTTCCACATGAAATTTTTCTCATTGTTTCTAAATACAATTGCCTTTACCTCATTTATTTTTTTTACCTTATACCAGTCCCCTTTCCCTCTGACAGTTTAATATTTCCAGCAGTCCACCAGATGTTTCCTGCAGCCTGTTAATAGCATCTGCAGATTAAACTTAATAGCTTCATTGACTTTCTCTTACCTAAACAAAATTCACCTTCTCTACTTCCCTACCTCTTGTAATAATATGTATACAATCCTGTTGGAATCCAAGAATCCGTTTGTGGATCTGCCTCTTTTATCTTCAATATTCAATCAGTAATTATGACCTGTGGATTTTTTCTGTAATTTCTCTAGTATACTGTATCTTTTTTACTTCCTAGTACAGTTATTACCCTATTCTAAGACTAAGTTCTGTCTACTTCTATTCGATTTTCTAATCGATTTTCTAACTTCTTGCTACCTCTTCCACAAATCATTCAATCCCATGGATCATCATCAGCTATATTTTCCAAACACTGTTCTGGTACATCATTCCATTATTCACCAAAGTGTAACTGACATTTACTGAGCAATATTTGCTTTCTGTTACATGCTAGGGCATGTGTAAAACATTATTTTATACTGTCTTCTTTTCTAGTTTTTTTGTGTTTTAAGCTTTACTTCCCAAAGAAGGTTGTAAGCCCCTTAAGAGAAAGACCTATATCTTAAGTTACATATTTTTTAATTTCCTAAGACATGCTACATACACAGTAAAATTAAATTCTAAATCAATAGTAAATTTAGTTGAAATCAAGTCCATGAAGTTAGTGGTGGAAATGATTTTATTAATGATGAAAGAAGTACTATTGTTCTGTCATTGAAATAACAGACTCTGCCATGTATACTTAAGAATTCTAATGCCTCTATTTGAGTATTACTTAAGGATATGCCCATATGCATCGCTTTGATACTCTGTTTAATTCCAAGTACCTCTTGTTATATTTCAAAGATTCCTTCCAAAGCAGGGTTTATTATAGTCATCATCATGGATCCTCTTGCTCTGAGACCGGTTCTTTAATTTCCTTAAATCCTGCCTGAATATTAATGAATCTACTGGTCTTTTCATCATGAAAAGACTTAGACTTAATGATTTTCCTATCCTCAGAGCCTTAGTGAAGAGAAACCATGTGAGTTGCCTTTGAATATTATAACATTAAAATCCAAAAGGACAAGACCAGTGCCAGAAGATAGGAACCTTGGAAAACTCTGCACAGCCCCTGTGAAGTAGTCCCCTTCAGTGTGCCTTCGGATGTCGGTTCCAGCCAGTGTTGCCCCACTTACCTCTAACCACCACGGGAAGTGCCACTGTGGGCTGTGCAGCCCTGTGTCTGCCTCCATGTTATGTGTTCACCCCAAATCATTAGAGACTAGCAGCAACCCAGGCCATGGGAGCAGTTTGCCTTTGCCAATAATACAGCATGATATTTCTCTGAATTTTCAGGATTAATGTCCATACTGGCAGAAATAAGACCAAGGAATGACTTGGGACATCCCTTTTGTGATAATTTGAGATCTGGAGATTGGATGATTGACTATGTCAGTAACCGGCTTATTTCACGATCAGGAAATATTGCTGAAGTAAGTGAAGCTGTATTCTAATCCAAAAAAACAAGGGCACAATTAAAACCATATTACCATGTTATAGACAATATTTATATTGTTTTCTAACCTGAAACATTTTCCTCCCTTCCTCATTATCTTTTGGTTCTAATAAATGGAAATCTGGTTGCATGTTTAGATTTGCGTCTTTAAAATGCACCTAGCCTGCAAACACACGAAATTAATTTTTGGAATTATTTTTATAACAGGTTGGTAAATGGTTGCAGGCTATGTTCTTCTACCTGAAGCAGATCCCGCGTTATCTTATCCCTTGTTATTTCGATGCTATATTAATTGGTGCATACACCACTCTCCTGGATATAGCATGGAAGCAGATGTCAAGGTATATCGAATAAACCTTGAGTAAATAGGCATGTTTCTGCAGAAACTATATAGAGTCAGTTTATACATACTCTTAAAAGACCAAGATATGAGAAATTATGATAGGCTCATATTGCTAAATAGTTTATAAATGGATAGAAAATTTGTTAGCATCCTTTAATCTGGACTGTACAAAAACAATGTTAAATCTGTTTTATAAAGCTGAAAAAACATGTTGGAAAAATGTAATTGTTTCATAATATTTGTTTCTATTTATTCATTGATTTGTTAAGTTAATGGATACAATTCTTAGAATATACATACATAGTACTTTTTTAAAATTTCCATTAATTAAGAGAAAATATTGTGCATGAATGAAGTTTGCCTGTAACAATGAATTTCCCTAAAATGAAACCACAGATTGCAATGTACCAGTGCAGATGAAAGTGAAGACCTACCAAACGTATTTAACCATAATTTCAGAAAAAATAAAATTTCAGCCCTACCATTTGTTTCACAATAGGCCTTGGACTTCAAGCCAGCAACTCTGAAATCTGATCAAGTTGAAAATTTTTTTCAACTGATATTACCATTGTGACACATCTGTGTAGAGATATTATTAGAAGAAAAGAAACCAAGTAAAATGATACTGCTAAAAATATTTGAATCAATGGGTATAAAATTTCAATCATACAAGACAAATAAGTCTTAGAAATCTGCTGTATAGCACTGTGCCTGTAAATAACAATTTGTATTGAATACTTAAAAATCTGTTAAGAGGATAGATCTCAAGTGTTCTTACCACAAATTTTTAAGATCAAATAAAGAATAAAAATTCTGTATTTCTACAAATAATATTTTAAACTCCATCACTTTGTTACAGCTTTGTTCAGAATGGGTCTACCTTTGTGAAACATCTTTCACTGGGTTCAGTCCAAATGTGTGGAGTGGGAAAGTTCTCTTCTCTGCCACATCTTTCACCTTCACTTACGGATATACCATATAGGCTAAATGAGATCACAAAAGAAAAGGAGCAATGTTGTGTGTCTCTAGCTGCAGGTAAGAAATGACATACAAGTTTAAAATGTGTAAGTCACATTATTCGAAAAGGAAAAATTATGGAGAAATGATAATATATGAAAAACCTCACGATGTTATCTAAGATTTTGGGTTACTGCTTGGTAAAATTTAATAGCTACTTCACTTGTAAAAATAATAAATGCTTACTATTTAATTATTATGCAATAGCCATTGATTTATGTGTATTTTTTATTGTGACAGGTTAATCCTTTCCTTCTGCATGTTTCTGTTTTTTTCAACTCTTGACATTTTCCATTTTTTAATCAGATCTGTTTTACTACCCAGTTTCCATTATATCATACATCTTTTAAAAATTAACCTGGCTTTATATTACCAAGAGATCACATAAAAATTCTCAACAAATCACAAAACACAAAACAGTTACTAAATAACATTTTATTATGTGTCTAATTGCAGTCAAATGCTTTCAACTATATTGGCATCCTTTCCTGCAAACAAAATTAAACCCTGAATCAAGTAACAAGCATAAGTAAACAAAATAGGCAAAAGGATTGTCTTTTGTTTCTTTTTAGTATATTCCAAGTTTCTAGAAAGTACTTAATGTTTGAGGCCACTGAAGCCTATAACTTTACAAGCTCAAATGAAAAATACTAAATGCCAAGATGAAAGTAGTAGTATTATCTATGCCATTTCCTGTTTTTACCCTTAAATTTGCATCTGCTCACCAAGAAAAAAAAACTTAGTGAACTCAACAACTAAAAAGAAATTAACCTTTCATTTAGAATGACTATATGAATTATCTGAATGTTTTAATTGTCTGATTGTGTTTCATACTTTCACTCAACTATTTGATCTCCTAGTACTTATCTTTCCTTGAACTGAACTGGGCTATTGTGGGGAGACAAAAAGATGAAATGCAGAATTTGGTATAAGCCTATTATAAAAAATAGTGCTCTCAACATTTTTGATTATGCATTGCTGTTGCTAAGCATTCCAAAAAATAAGTATACTGATATATCAATATAAGTTATGACACCTGATATACTTACATATCAGACATAGTATAAAGGAAAAATAGAAACTAAAAAATATAAATTGATAAATACAAATAGAAGTTCTGATATTTGTTTCTAGAATCCTGAAAGAGTGTTTGGTATAATTCATACTAACAAAATATAGGGACTGTACTCAGATTTGTGTTTTTTTGGGTTCCTTTTAAAATGAATACTAAGACCTAGAATGCCTCCCTTTTGTGACAGTAGTGCAAAAAAAATAATCATAATCGTAAACTTTTAAAATAATTGACGAGGTAGAAGTTACTCAGAAGATATGTGATCTATAAATTATATAGTCTTAGAGGCCAAAAAGTTAATACAAACATTTCTACATGTCAGTGCTAGTTTTATAGATTTTATAGTTTTGACTTTTTAACAATGACAAACTGTATTTCAGGAAATATCAACTCGAACACCCTTAAATTTATACTCATATCTCATGCAAAGTGTTTAAATGTGTTAAAGTACCAGGAAGTCTGTGTGGCAGAGAGTGGTATATATGTGTATTTTAGCTGCTGTCATTATCATCATCATCAAAATTATCATCAACCATATATAAACCATGTATATCAACCATGTATATATAATACACAAAGCATTTAGGGAAATTTTGTACCATTATTTTGGAAACAATTTAGAAAAAAATGTCTGGTGTTGCTTTAGTTTTTCTCAACAAAAGAAAATAATAGTCTTTCTCAACAAAAGAAAATAATATCTAATCTCCAAGAAGTTGAAGACCCAATAAGCAGAAACTTAAATTATGAAGTAAACTTAGAAACTGCCAAAATTTTCTTTTATCTTAGTCAAATTCTTTTATCTCTCAATTTACCTTTTATAATTAGTCTTTTATTTCAATCAATTTTTATAATGCTGTTGTCCATTCACAGTTTTCAATGATAGCTATATTTTGGTAAACAAAGCAGATGGGATTTCTGTTATCATGGATCTTATTTTTCATGGGAAGAGACATTCATTCAGCAAACAAGAAAACAAATAAACAAGATAATGTCAGATAATGTTAAGTGTTTAGAAGGTAGTTAAGAATGAATTTTGTGTTCTCAGTTTTCCCTTACTAAAATATTTATTACATTTATGCTTTAGAATAATTCTTTTTTTGACTGAAATGCCAATTTCCTTAGCTGAATTGTCCTACTAATTATTGTTTTTTAGTACAAATATGGATAATAATTGTATTCCTTTACATGTTTTATAGGAAACCAAAATCAATCTAAAAGTAAAATTTTAGATTTTATTCATTAATCATCTTATTTTATCTCATGTATCTCATGTAAAACCCTTTTCTGGCTAACAAAGTATAACACTTTTAAATTGTTTAAGTTAATGGGAAATTTGGGAATAAAGTTTGACTGTAGAGTGATATATTAATAATTATGTATCATTAAAGTAATAATTTCATATTTAGATTAATGTGTTGCCTTTAAATTGCAGGTAGAATCTTTTCAAATATATCACAATATTATAATGTGTTTGATTATGTGTTAAATATTTTATCTCTGATTTTTGTCTTTAATTTATTAAAAGAAAGTTTATCTGTATTTAAAGATACACATTCAAATCAATTCAGTTAAGCTTCCCACTCTAGCCCAGTTCTTAACCTCTTTTGGGTCACAAATTCCTTTAATCTGATAAGAATATGGAACTATATCACATCACACAAAAGTTAACATAAGCATAGACACACATTTTACAGATAATTATAGAGGGTTTTCCAACTCCCTATAGCTCATCCTTGTCCCCCAGGTTTAGAGCAACTGGTCTATAATTATGGAGTTCATAGACTATTTGTATTATTAAGATTAACATATTACTTTGTTGTGTTTTCTGTTAGGCTTACCTCATTTTTCTTCTGGTATTTTCCGCTGCTGGGGAAGAGATACTTTTATTGCACTTAGAGGTCTACTGCTGATCACTGGACGCTATTTAGAGGCCAGGTAGGAGATCTTTCAAAGTTGCAATGCAAGTTTATATCTGATTGTTTTTCTCATGCTCCTCAAACTTTCCTTCTTATCCATCTATTCTTAAAATTTGGGGGGTTTGTTTTCCTTGTATTGTATTGATAGTATTTTCTATATTCCTTTAATAGGATCACAGAATTTCAAAGGAGTGAAAATCTTTAAAGTTACTAAATTCTAGTCCCTCAGGTTCCAAGTCAGGTTATCTTCAGCATTTGGTAATTTATTTCAGTAAAACTAAAAAATGTATAACCAAGCTACTAACATCACTCAATAAAGAGTAAAATTTTTTTTTTCTGAATTAAGCAAAAGAATTCAGATGAACTTACAGGTAAAATTTGAAAGTCTACCATTTTTGTCCTTTTATAATGAAGACATTGCCTACTATTTGAGTCCTGTAGAAAGAATTATAATCTTAGGTTTTCCTCTCTCTGTTGTCAGGCCTTGTCACCTCCAGTTTTATATTTTCTAGACTTAAAATATGTTTTCTTATATCACAATAATATGAATGAATTCATCTAATGTAGGAAAGAAAAGCTATACAGCAGTTACACTGAAAAGTGTGTTCCACAAATCAGTGGTGTCACCATCATCTGAGAGCTTGTTAGAAATGCATGATCTTGGTCCCTATGCTACTTCCAGAATCCAGATGTGGAGTGGAGAGGGCAGAGTTGGCTGGTGAAAATACGTGTTTTCACAAAAGCTCTTGTTGATTTTCAGCAGCCTAAGACTAGAGTTTGACAGCATTCTTCTGCAAGTGAAAACTTTTAGCAAAAAAGCCTTTATATGATTCCTTACTTTGATGTCATCCAAAAAATAGCTAAAGTCTTCCACTTCAAATGACCAAAGTTTTATTTTTGATCCTTTTAATAGGGAAAGTTTCTAAATATTGTATTCTTTGAAATGTATTCTTTCCTGCTAACCTAATATAAAACCTCATTGATGTAAGATACCATTATGGGACTGTATAAATTTTGGAGGCTGTTTGCTTCCTTCCCAAATGCCACTTCATGACTGTGATTGAGAAGTAGGAAATGGAACATGAGGATCCAGTAGAGTATAGGGGTTAAGAACTTGGGCTTAGATCAGATTGCCAGGTTCTAATCCTGGTTCCAAACTACCAGTGACAAGTTATTTATTCTCTTTGTGTGCCCTGTAAAATCATTACAGTATTTACCTTACAGGGTCTTCATAAGGATCAAATGAACTAATGCATTGAAGTGTCTAGAAGAGTATCTGCCACATGCTAAGCATTACATAAATGTTAGGGTTTTTTAAATCATCATTATGGTTTTCATTGTTATCTGGGATCCCATTCTATGTGCTACCAACAATTTCTGCTGCTTAGTTTTACATATGGCTATCTAGATCAGGGGGTCAGCAAAATACAGTCTGTTGCCTTGTGTTGTATGACTTAAGAGCAGAGAATGTGTTTTACCTTTTTGAAGAGTCATTAAAAAATGAAGAAGAATATATGGCTGCAAAATATATGGCCAACAAAGTCTGAAATATTTACTATCTGGCCCTTAACAGAGAAAGTTTGCCCACCCCAAATCTAGATGATTCCCAGAGGATAATGTATTTGTTAGGGTAGTGCTAGCTGTTATAAATTATCAACTCTTAAAGTTCAGTGGCTTTTCACAAATGAAACTTATGTCTTGCTTCTGGTCTAATGTTGAGTGTTCAGGAGGCAGCTTTCCACATAGTGATTGAGGGAGGCAGGCTCGTTCATCTTGAGGATCATCTGGAGGATTGACCATCTTCCAGGGTCTCTAAATCCTCTCCAGTCAGCTTGCAGAGAGGGAAAGAGAGCCTGGGAACAGTACACAAGTTCCTTGTACTTTAAACACACCAGTTCCATTCACATTCATTTGCCTTAGAATGCTGTCACCTGGCCACAGTCAGCTTTAAGGTAGGTTGGGACATGAAAGAAAATCACTGGGGGACACATGGCTCTCTTTACCACAGAGCATTCTACTTCCTCTCTCTGCAGAGGTGCTAATGGCAGAGGAATTTTTTCAACTTTTTATTCAACTTTCAAGTGTATGACATTGTTCTGGATGGTTAAAAAATTGCTAGCATTCTGACCTTTTATTGGAAGTGTCACTGTCCAAACTAACACTTTTGTACTGCAGAAACTAAAAAGTTTCCCACTACACCATTATTTAAGAGATGGGTATTAAATTGAGCCGTAAAATTAATTAAACTTCTAAATTGGTTAGCCAAAAAGCCCTGAGACCTAGACATTTTAAATGACTTTTCCATTGTCATTCAGATGGCAACATTAGACAGAATTTAAACCTCAGTCTTCTTATTTCTTAGCTTAATCTCTTTTTAGGATGCCATGCCATCTTAAAAAGTTGTCATTTGATACATGATAGTGTAATAACATTTTAAAAGATAAATATCCTCTATCAGTTTTTGAAAATAAATTATGTTTTTCAAAGTCAACTTTTACTCAATTACTTTCTTATGTTTGCTTTGCTCTTGGTATCTGCTATTTAAAATAATAAAGTTCATGTTCTTGGTTACTTGGATTTTGAAATACCAAGGATTTCAAAACTAGAGACTAGAGCTATGAGGGACCTTAAAAATCATGCTGTTTAATCCCTAACTCCACAGTTGAGAAAACTATCCCAGAGAGGGTAAGTCACACAGATTATTAGAAACAGATGGCAGCAAAGACAGAAACAAAGCCAGGGCTAAGATCAAGGTTCCTAACTTTACTCAGTGCTTGTTCTAACATAGTATGACCACTTTATATATGAAAATACAAAGAAATAAGGGCAGGAAAGAAAATGCATCCAAAATAATAGTCACCAAAAGTGACTTCAGTTTTTTAAGTGATTGCTTTCATGTCAAATGATCTGCCTAATTCTGTTGTTTTAGGAATATTATTTTAGCATTTGCTGGTACCCTGAGACATGGTCTTATTCCTAATCTCCTGGGTGAAGGAACTCATGCCAGATACAATTGCCGGGATGCTGTGTGGTGGTGGCTACAGTGTATTCAGGATTACTGTAAAATGGTTCCAAATGGCTTAGACATTCTCAAGTGCCCAGTTTCCAGAATGTATCCTACAGATGATTCTGTTCCTTTGTCTGCCGGCACACTGGTAAAAATGATTTCTTAAAATAATTTCTTTCCCTGAAAAATTACGTTTAATCTGAATCTTGAGAATTCTTCAAATAGTGGTATTTATTAGCACCCACTAGTACTCTGAAAGATTGCCAAAATAAGACTTGTGTAAGGAATTTGCAATGTGGTAGAAGAGATGATATGTACATAATATGATCATTGCAAAAAGAGATATGGGAAATGCTATGTAGTCTCAGAAAAGGGAGAGAGATGGTCTAGTAAGCTGGTCTCAGGGAGGACTGCAGAAAGCAGCTAAAATTTCACCTAAACTGAACTTTTAAAAGTGAGTAGGATTTCAGCAGAGGTGAGGGAAGTTGTGGGAAGTCATCAAAGGTAAAAGGAATAGTAAAGCACAAAGGTGGACTGAAACAGTTAGACATATTGCTCAGTCTAGTTTGGCTTTTGTGTAGGGAACCTACAGGGTCATAAGAGATTGTGGGAAGGATGAATTAGGTTGTAGAATGCCTTGATTACCAGTCCAAGGAGTTCAGAGTTTATTTTATGAATAGTGCAGAATAAATAAACATTGTTGAGCAGTTTTTTTCCCCAGTCAATAATGTAGCCAGACTATACTTTGACCCCTTCTGATCTGCCTTTATGTTACAGTTGGCTTGTTATATTTATGTGGGGGACTTTCTAAACTATCTCAGGATTAGCATAGATTGTGTCCCTGAGATGTTTATATCATAAATTATTCAAAGAACATTTGTCAAAAAAAGTTTTTACCTAAATTACCACTTTAACATATCATTCATTTATCCCTGCTACCATGTAGATGAGTAAGAACAGCAATGCCAATTTAAAATTCAAATTTCTGTATAATAAGCTAGATTCATTGATTAGCTGAGCAATTCAGACTAACAGAAACTACCCAAGCTCACAAGATTCATTTTCAAGTGAAAGAAAAGTTACAAATTATTTCATGTCATCGACATGAAGAGTCAAATATCAAATGTGTCATACATTCATATGCCAAAGGTCCACTGCATTATTTGATTGTATATACAGGAGCTGCTTCTTTCCTCAGCCCCATTCCTGATTCCCATTTCACTCTCCAAAGGAAAATATGTGTTGTCACAAAGCTTCAGTTGTGGGATTTAAGAGAAGATAAGAAAAAATTTAATTTCTAACAGAGGTAACATCCATTATGTCTCAACCAGGATCAACCATTGTTTGAAGTGGTACAGGAAGTTATGCAAAGACATATGCAGGGCATACAGTTCCGAGAAAGAAATGCTGGTCCACAGATAGATCGAAACATGAAGGATGAAGGTACATAACTTTACATTGTAAAAATTTACCAATGAGGTGGAATTAAACCTTGTTATTGTTCATGTAATTGACAATTTGTGTGTGTGTGTGTGTGTGTGTAGAACTTCAGAATAACAATGAAAAAGATTAACATGGTTCCTGATCTCACCAGGGTAGTTTTCGTTTTTTGAGGAAAAACAGTATTTTTATACCTTTTCAGCCAATTTGAAAGGTCATTTTATAGTCATAATAATAATTGCTAATAATTGCTCACTCTGTGCTAGGTGTTGTTTACATTTTTATACCTTTTCAGCCAATTTGAAAGGTCATTTTATAGTCATAATAATAATTGCTAATAATTGCTCACTCTGTGCTAGGTGTTGTTTACCTATGTTATTCCCATTTAATATCCCCAAGAACATGGCTGAGTTATATTGTTCTCATTTTTATTGCCCATAGTCACACAGCTACTAAGTGGCAGCTGGAATTTCATCTGCAGCCTGTGTCTATAACCTAGGCTCTTATAAAATACTTTCTGTAAAAATGTTAATTTGTATACAGTTAAAATAGATGACACTTCCTTAACCTCTTTGAAGTTTATCATATTCCTATTCTTACAGCACATTATTTTACCAGCCATAGTAAGGCTAGTTATAATTTATTTCATCTTATTACCTAATCCCCTTAGAGACTTCCCAGTGGGTTTACTGTATATTTACTTGTTGTCTTGTAAAACATATTGCTTTATGTACATGTTGATTTTTTTAACTTTTTAATTTTGAAAGAAGTAGAGGCTCACAGAATTGCAAAAATTGTACATAAGAGTGCCCTGAACCCTTTACCTCACTTCCCCCAGTGAGGACAACTTATATAACTGTAGCATAATAACAAAATTAGGAAAATGACATTAATGTAATGCTATTAACTAGATTATAGACCATATTCAGTTTTCACTATTTTGAAATTTACTCATTTTGTGTATGTGTAGTTCTGTGCAGTTTTACCCCAGGTTATAGCTTCATTTAACTGTTACCACAATCAAGATATAGGACTGTTCTATCACCACAAAGTTCTTCCTTGTTTTACCCCTTTATATTCACACCAACCATCCTTGGTCTCTCGCAAACTACTAATCTCTTTTGCATCCCTATAGTATGTCATTTTAAGAATGTATATAAATGGAATCATATGGTATGTAACCTTTTGGGATTGGTTCTTTCACTAAGCATAATTCCCCTTGAGATCCAGCCACATTGTTGCCTGTATCAGTAGTTTACTCCTCTTTATTGCTAAATAGTATTCTCTTTCATGGATGTACATTCATCTGCTGAAGGACATTTAGTTCTCTGGCTAATACAAGTAAAGCTGCTCTGAACACTCATATATAGGTTGTTGTGTGAACATGTTTTCATTTCTATGGGATAAATGCCTAAGAATGTGATCAGGTCATATGATAAGTACATGTTTTTTGGTTTTTGTTTTTTCTTTTTTTTTCCACTCATGTAACTATCACCCAGATCAAGATATCAAACTTTCTCACTAATTTTTTTCCCCTTCACCTGTTTTACCCATCCTCTCACCACCCTCTCCTGTGGTAACCACCTGTCTGTTCTGTTTATGAGTCTATTTCTGTTTTGTTTGTTTTCAAGATGTTTTTTAGATTCCACATGTAAGTGAAATCATGGTATTTGTCTTTCTCTGTCTGACTTAATTTCACTTAGTAAAACACCCTATAGGTCCATCCATGTTGTTGCAAATGGCAAGATTTCATTTGTTTTGGTGGCAGAATATTTCCATTGTATATATGTACCACATCTTCTATATCTATTCATCTATCAGTGGACATTTAAGTTATTTCCATATTTTGGCTATTGTAAATAATGCTGTAATAAACATAAGAGTACATATTATATCTATTCAGATGAGTGACTTTGTTTTCTTAGGGTAAATTCCCAGAAGTAGAATTGTTGAATCATGTGGTATTTCTATTTGTTTTTTGAGAAATCTCCATAGTAGCTGCACCAAATTGCAATCCTACCAACAGTGTATGAGAGTTCCCTTTTCACCACATCCTTACCAACACTTGTTATTCTTGGCTCTTATATTGTAGCATTCTGACTGTTATGAGGTGCTATCTAATTATAATTTTGATTTGCATTTCCCTGATGATTAGTGATGTTGAACATCTTTTCATGTGTCTATTGGCCATCTATATGTCTTCTTTGGAAAAATGTCTCTTCAGGTCCTCTGTCCATTTTTTTATCAGATTGTTTGTCTTTTTGATGTTGAGCTGTATGAATTCTCTGTATATTTTGGACATTAACCCCTTATCAGATATATCATTTGCAAATATATTCTCCCATACAATAGACTGCCTTTTTGTTTTGTTAATGGTTTCTTTTGCTGTACAGATTTTTAGTTTGTTATAGTCCCACTCGTTTATTTTAGCTTTTGTTTCTCTTGCCTGTAGAGATATATCCAGAATAAAATTTCTTATGTTGATGGTTTACTGCCTATGTTTTCTTCTAGGAGTTCTATAGCTTCAAGTCTTACATTTAGTGTATTCTGTTCCAGTAGTCTATGTATCTCTTCTTGTGCCAGTACTATACTGTTTTGATAATTGTAGCTTTGTAGTATAGTTAGAAATCAGGGAGCATTGATATAGTTCATACAAATTTTAAGATTATTTGCTCTAGTTCAGTGAAAAATGCCATTGGTATTTTGATAAGGATTTCATTGAATCTGTAGCTTGCTTTGGGAAGTATAGCCATTTTAACAATATAAATTCTTCTATCCAGGAACATGGAATAGCTTTCCATTTATTTGTATCTTTTTCAGTTTCTTTCATCAGTTTATTATAGTTTTCAGAGTATAGGTCTTTCACCAACCTGGTTAAATTTATTCCTAGGTATTTTATTCTTTTCAGTATAATTGTAAATGGAATTTATTTCTTAATTTTTCTTCCTGTTCATTATTTGTATATAGAAATGCAACAGGTTTCTGTATACTTTACAGAATTCATTTATTAATTATAGTAGTTTTCTGGTGGAGTCTTTAGGGTTTTTTGTCTATAGTATCATGTCATCTGCAAATAGTGACAGTTTTGCTTCTTCCATTGCCAATATGAATGTCTTTTATTTCTTTTTCTTATCTCATTGCTATGGCTAGTACTTCCAGGACTATGTTGAATAAAAGTGGTGAGAGTAGAAATCCTTGTCTTGTTCCTGATCTTAAAAAAAAGCTTTCACCTTTTTGCCATTGAGTATGATGTTAGCTGTGGGTTTGTCATGTATGGCATTTATTATGTTGAGATATGTTTGCTCTAATACCCACTTTGTTGAGAATTTTTATCATTAATGGATATTGTATTTTGTCAAATGCTTTTTCAGCATCTATTGAGGGGATGTTATGGTTGTTATCCTTCCTTTTGTTAATGTGGTGTATCATTGATTAATTTGTGGATGTTGAACCATCCTTGTACCCCTGGAATAAATTCCACTTGGTCATGGTGAATGATCCTTTTAACATATTTTTGAATTTGGTTTGCTAATATTTTCTTGAGGATTTTTGCATCTGTGTTTATCAGGGATATTGGTCTGTAATTTTCTTTTTTTTTTATAGTGACTTTGTCTGGGTTTGGTATTAAGGTGGTGCTAGCCTCATAGAAAGACTTTGAAAGCTTTCCTCCCTCTACAATTTTTTAGAATAGTTTGAGAAAGATAGGTATTAACTCTCCTTTAAGTGTTTGAAAGAATTCCCTGTGAAGTCGTCTACTCCTGGACTTTGGTTTGTTGGGAATTTTTTGATTACCACTCAATTTCATTACTAGTAATTGGCCTATTCAGATTTTCTATTTCTTCCTGGTTTGATCTTGGGAGACTGCATGTTTCTAGGAGTGTATGCATTTCTTCTAGGTTGTCCAATTTATTAGCATATACTTTTTCATAGTAATCTCTTACAATTGTATTTCTGTAGTATCAGTTGTAACTTCTCTTTCATTTCTGATTTTACTTGAGTTATCTCTTTTTCTTGATGACTCTAGTTAAAGGTTTATCAATGTTATTTATCTTTTGAAAGAACCAGCTCTTAGTTTCATTGATCCTTTGTACTGTTTTTTTGTGTGTGTGTCTATTTCATTTATTTCTGCTCTGCATTTTATTTTTCTCTTCCTTCTACTAACTTAGGGCTTGGTTTGTTCTTTTTATAGTTCCTTTAGGTTCAGGATTAGACTGTATATTTGGGATGGTTCTTGTTTCTTGAGGTAGTACATAACATTGTCCCTCTTAGATCTGCTTTTGCTGCATCCCAAAGATTTTTGCATTGTTGTGAGTACATGTTTTGCTTTATAAGAATCCTTTGATAAACATGAGAGGAGCATTCAGTCTCACCAAACAAATTCATAATAAGGTGGATCACCATTTTTTTCCTCTGCTAAATTATCACAGGACACAACATAGTAGTGAATGAAAGCACTGGTGCTGAAACCATACTTGTTATCTTGAAATCCCATCTCTGATCATTTTCTAGTTAGTTGCATTCCTTTAGAAAAGCTTTAACTTGTCTTTGCCTCACTTTCTTCTACATTTGTAAAAAGGAGATAATAACAGCACCTACCCCCAAAGACTGATATGAGGATTCAATGAAATCTGTATGTTAAAGCATTTAGTATGGTGCTATAAATTATAACTGTTAAAGACTATAAAATATATGAGTGTCAAATCTAATACACAAAAATAGTTAGATATCAAAATATTTGTGAAGATTTTACTATTACATGAAAACACTAGAAAGCAAGTATATAATGTAATAGTTTTGTTAGGGTAATAGAATCATGGACTTTTTTTTTTCTCTTTTTTTTTAACACTATTGTTGTTAAAATAAATGGTAAGCTTTTTAAGTGATCTATTCCAGATTTTTCAGATAACATACTAACTTATCTGCAAATTTTGCTGTAGACTCGAGAACCTAAATTGCTTTAGTCAATTTATTGTTTGTAGTGATAGCATACACATTTTATACCCAACTGAGCTGTTAATAAACACTGATGCTTTTCTTATCTTCACTAAGAGAACTAAATAGAAATAGATCTTATAAGAACATTTTTTGTGATATCTCTAAATTATTTTAGTTTTTGATATTAATTATGGACATTTCAATATATACAGAAAATGTAAATTATACCTTTGAACCTAGAACTAAAATTAAGCACATACTAATACTTCGCCTTATTTTCTTAAGCCCTTTTTCTTTTGTTTGGAAAAGAAATAGACCACTACAGACACATATAAAGTTTCATCTTTATGTCGTTCTCTGCCCTTCCTCTTTAGAATTAATGACTATCCTATAATCAGGGCTTACTATTTCCATGTAGGTTTTTATACATTATGTGTTTATGTGTTGGAGTATGTGTAAATTACATATGATATATATTATGTAGTATATATTCAGTATATTGTTATATACTCTAATGTATATATATATACTATACATAATTCTGTTTTCAAATTTTATATAAATATCATATTAGACATAGTTATGATAAACATGGTTGTATATATTGGTATTATCAATGTTTTAAACCTTTACAGAAAAGGTATCTTATACATATCCTGTTGTAACTTATTTACTCATTTTGGGGGGAATTTATCCATTTTGCTTCATGTAAATACAGTTCATTAATTTTAAATGGTATAGGGTTTTCCATGGCATGAATAAACCAATTCTTTTATTTAGTTAACTGTTACCAGCAGTTATTTTCTTGCTAAGACAAGCACTGTTGCAGTGAATATCCTTTTATGTTTCTCCTTGTGCCCATAGGTAGGGTTTCTCTAGAGTATATATCTAGAGTATATATGAAATTAAAATGTGGTATAGACTGTGAATGTCTTCAACTTTTAAGGTATTACCAAATTACTCCCCCAAGTAGTTGTCCCAGTTTATTATATTCCTTTTAAGTATTATGAGTGTTTTATTTTACTTTTTTAGGTTTTAATATAACTGCAGGGGTTGATGAAGAAACAGGATTTGTTTATGGAGGAAATCGTTTAAATTGTGGCACATGGATGGATAAAATGGGAGAAAGTGACAGGGCTAGAAACAGAGGAATCCCAGCTACTCCAAGGTAGTGTTTATGATGCTTACATAATTATACCCTCTTAAAAACCACATACTTGTAAAATCTTTTATTCTGCTAACCATGGAGTCTTCATATTAAGTCAATCAAAAATCTCCATTTCTCCCTCACACTTCCTCTTCCACTCACTCCTCAGTACCCCCCAATATCTTGATATTGTATATAATCTTCATGTCATTAGTTATCAAGTAAAGCTGTTCTCTCCAGAAGTTCTCATGGATTGATCCTCTACAAGCATTTCAAAGGAAAGTTTTATGATTTGTTATCCTTGTGGTTAAGCTATTTCCTTGACCTGAAGTGCTTTCATTGTAAACATTTCATTATGCCTTTTAGTAATGCCTCTTTTAAAAATGTAGAAAACAAGCAATTATGCTATCCTTTATGAAATCTTTTCATTTTCTGAACCTTTTTCCTCCCTAATTTTTTAGTTTTTTATCCCATCATTTCTTTTTATGATTTTAAATACTTAATATAGTATCAAGTCTGAGAAACTATTCTCTTATTTTAAATTTTATCATCAGTCATAATTGTTCAAAAAATCATTTAATAACAGTAGCTGTTATTACATGCTTTGCAGATTCTTTTTGAACCTGTTTATTTTGGTACACTATTTGATCTTGTACTTCCCTTTCATTTTCCTTAAAAATGAACTTTTAAATTATTATATTTACCTTCCTTGGCTTTTTCCAGTCCTATATCTCATGTTTTCTGTCTTTTCTCTGGTACTCCATTTCAATATTCTCAGATTCCTTATTCTTACCTTTTTCTAGTTACCATCTCCTTTTTTTCCCATAGTCCCCATTATATATCACAGAATTTAAATATGTTAAGAAGGTAAGCACTGGCAAAATTGTAAGAGGAAAGATTTCTTACATATGCAATATACATTCCTATAAAGTGAAGGATTTTAAATGGATATTTGTTTTTATAATACATGAATTATGTAATTCATCAAAATTCTTTATTGAATGTCCTTTAGTACCAAATTGACTAACTCACAGAATAAAATTAATTTATGATTTTAGAGATGGATCTGCTGTAGAAATTGTGGGCCTGAGTAAATCTGCCATCCGTTGGTTGCTGGAATTATCAAAAAAAAATATTTTTCCTTATCATGAAGTCACAGTAAAAAGACATGGTAAGCTGTTCATTTTATTTACAAAGAAACTTTGAATGTACTGTCTCTGTTCTTAATCTACATAATCATCTTTTGACTCAATGAACTAATATTAGAAAACCCTTAAGATTAGGAGGAAAGAGAAACCATTAATTCACTAGTATGACAATTATGTCAAACATGGATACTAATCATATTTTTATAGCACTATTGAACTGAGATACGAAAACCATCATGATTATTACCTTTCTGTACTTTTCTTTGCCCTCCGTGTGACTGTGACCAAGTTGCATTTTTGTGAAAGTTATGAAAGCTTTACATCTTTTTCTAAAACTATGCTGTTCAATAGAAATATAATTTAAGTCATATACATCATTTTAGATTATCTACTATGTGTATTCTTTAAGAAAAAAGAAACAGATGAAATTATGATATTTTAATATATGCTAAATATTTTATCAACATGTAATCAGTATGAAATTATTTATGAGCTATTTTATATATTCCTTTGGGGTATACTAAGTCTTTGAAATCCAGTGTATAATTTGCGCTTCTAGAATATCTCAATTCAGACTTCTTGCCTCATTTCAAAGGGCTCAATAAAGGTAACTTTATCAAACATATAAAAGTGATACAAAGAAAGACAAATCGGATCATTTGCCAGAGTATAATCCTTTTTTGCTAATATAATGAAAGATCATTTTTAACTTCAGGCTAGTGCCTTTCAGAAGACCCCAACACTCTCATAAAGTAGATAATATATTACCTAAATATTACTCTTTGTCACTAAATGTATGGATTTCTTTATGCTTAAAACTGCCATATCTTTTATGATGTTTCAGGAAAGGTTGTGACAGTCTCATATGATGAATGGAACAGAAAAATTCAAGACCACTTTGAAAAACTGTTTTATGTGTCAGAAGACCCTTCAGATGTGAATGAAAAGCATCCTAATCTGGTTCACAAACGGGGCATATACAAAGATAGTTACGGGGCTTCGAGCCCTTGGTGTGACTACCAGCTCAGGCCTAATTTTACCATAGCAATGGTTGTAGTAAGTGATACGTTTGTTATTTTCAAATTTCAAAAACATTGTGAAGGAGTTTATTTATTTGTTTATTCCCATTTGTTTTCAAATTCATTTAATTGCTAAAAAGTACACTCTTTTCTAGCTAGCTTTATATAGTCTTTTCTAATTAATAAAGCCTTATGCTATCCCCCTCAACCTATAACATTCAGTAATAAAATATAGAAAATAATGGATAATGACTAAAGAAATGTTTTCCAATGGTTTTCGCATCATAGCATACATAGAAATGGTATTTGCACAGCGCACACTAGGCTAAATGGATTAAGTTGCTTGCGCCAGATCACCCCACACAACAGCCTTGAAAGCTGAGAGCGTCTGTGTTTCTGCAAACCTGTGCCATGAGTACACAGGTTTGGCTCAGCACACTAGTTGGAAAGATTTGGACTAGTGAACTAATGTGGGTAGGCTTCAACTCACAATCTGTTTTCTGTGTTGTATTGCTAAACTTAGTTCTATCTAGCCAAACATCTTAGACCCTCCTTATTTTATCTCTACTTAGTTTAAAAAGAAACTACAGGGCAATAAAATAGAGAGGATGTGTGTTCTTCCATGCCTGCCTAGCTGTTCCCACTTTGTCAAAAAGAGCACTGAACATAGTACTATTAATTTTAGTAGAAAAATGTAAAGATACATAAAGGTAGCTTAGTGCATTTGATTTCATTTAACCATCAAAATTAATGTTGGTTCTTCATCACCAGGGCTTTTTCTCCTTCCCCATATCACAAGTAAATTTACTCTTGCTATTGGAGTGCAAGTCCTTCTGTACTTTATTATGACCCCAGAAATAAAAAATGGTTACCAGCTGTGCTTAAAGGAAGCTATTGTAAATCTTCTGAAAAATGAATTAGATGAGTTTAAGTGCAGTCTGCCATCATTTTCGCTGTGGTAACTTGCTTCTGGCTGGTAAACTTTCTTGAAATGACTCAAGGAAATAATGACCTCTAGGAGCCTCTGAGTCAGCTGCATAGAATTAGATCTGGTTAAGTGTCTGTCCTCAAATTCTGACCACACTGTATTTTTAAATCATTTTCATTCTTTTTCAAGTTTTTGAATAGGTGATGGTCCACTATGGGTAGAAGCTAATTCTTCTGTAATCTTAAAAAATGTATATGTTTGTATTTAACATTCATTAGGCCCCTGAGCTCTTTACTGCAGAAAAAGCATGGAAAGCTTTGGAGACTGCAGAAAAAAAACTGCTTGGTCCCCTTGGCATGAAAACTTTGGATCCAGAGTAAGTTAAAGTATTAAGAATGTTGTTCTTATTATATTTAGCATATAATTATATTTAATTATATTTAATCTTGACATGAAAACTTTGTATCCAGAATAGGTTGAAGGGTATTAAGAATGTTGTTGGTATTATATGGCTTTTTTTTTTTGCTTGTAAATAAAATCTCCAGTAAAACTGCATTCAAACTGTGTTTTTCAAAATACCTTCTGTATTTTCATTAAACTATTCAAAATGCCTTTCGCTTGTCCTATATCCACTAATCAATAGGAGATTTATATTTATAAAACTAATATGTTATGAATATTTTCTAATGCTTATTTTTCCTTATTGTAAAAGTAATACATAATTATTATGGGCATTGGAAGTAAAGACAAGTTGTCTCCTCAGAGACAATCTTTCTATTGTCAGTTGCTACTCCTAGGAGTTCCATCCATATTGCTAAATAATATGTGTATGCAGCTCTCTCTTGGCTTTTTAAAATATTAGACATAGGACTTTAAACAGTATTAAGTGTTAGACTAACTCCTTGAAGGTAAGATACCAAATATTTTATATTTGTTTGTAGTAGCCAGTTAAGTATTTGATAATCATTCCCTAACACATTATTAAAGTCACCTGAATTCAGTATATACTAATTTAAGGTTAAATGGATGCTAAGTCTATGCTATAAACTGGAAGACCAAATAACTTGATTATTTCTCTTACTTTTGTAATTAAAAAATTATTCAAATGCTTCCTATGTAATGTCTGATCTTTTTTTGTCCTAAATTCCCATCATTTTGCAGTGATATGGTTTACTGTGGAATTTATGACAATGCCTTAGACAATGACAACTACAATCTTGCTAAAGGTTTCAATTATCACCAAGGACCTGTAAGAAATCATTTCTCTTTTCTCAGTTTTCAGTTAAAGTTATTTTTCAAATAATTTTAGATGTTCACTGCTCTTTATTTTTTCTTTACTTTTAAATCATCTTTTTACAGGAGTGGCTATGGCTCATTGGGTATTTTCTTCGAGCAAAATTATATTTTTCCAAGTTGATGGGTCCAGAGACCACTGCAAAGACTGTACATTTGGTTAAAAATGTTCTTTCCCGACATTATGTTCATCTTGAGAGGTAAGTCATCAGGGGCATGTAATTTGTATAACTTTAGTCAATTTATTAGATATTTCCTTAGAATTCATTTATGTATACTCTAGATACCCCAGTGAAATTCGAAAGCTTTACCCTTTAACATGACAAGTTCTGTGATATAATTTTCACCTTCCTTTAATTATTTTATGTTCTTATTTATTTTCATTTAAGGACTTGATATTACATGATTTATATGTGGAATAGTTTTTGATTTTTAAAATTTAACTGTTACCTTTGGATATGTTATTAGCATAGAATAAATATAAAAACTTAAAGTACTTAGGCTGGGTCTTTTCAGTTAGCTGATTTAAACATGTATCAATAAATAATTATCAGAAATGCTTTCATTATAATTAAAATATTAGAATTGGCCTTTTAACTATTTTCAAACCCATTTGTCACCTCCTTTATCCTAATTATTAGCAGATAAATAGTGTCAGAATTATGTGTCTGTATAAGAAGTTACAAATTCAGTCAAAAACTTAATTTCTCAGATTCTAGATTATACATAAATATATGTACATATTATTGCTCGGAATAATTATTCATAAACAGCATAAATTTTGTGTCCTTTATTATAAGACCATGAGGATATTTCACCTATCACTATGAATGTTTTGTCAAAGTTTGTTTTCATTTTTTCAAAGTTGGTTTTCATTAGCTTAAATAGTCACAGAAAACCCCAACTCTGCCATGCTTGCACCTCATCTAGAGATTGAGCTGAGTCTGTAGTGTGAACATTCTTACATCCCATCCTTTCCTGCCCCACAGTACTTCTCATCATTTGCGTTTATTTTCTCTGGCTTCTCTTTTGTCTATGGCAAGTAAGAATATCCTGCTCTGCAGGCATCATTCTAGTACATTCACCTGTGACCCATCCCTCCCACCTCTTTCATGACCTATCTTCAATAATTTTCCTCTCTTGGTATTCCATTTGATCTTTCCTTCTTAAGCTACAAAAATTTGGACATCCCATCCTAAAATAGAGTCCCTTCATGTTATTCCTGCCTCCAGCCTTATCCTGTCATTCTCTTCTCTTTTGAGCACCCTTCCTATAGGAGTAACCTCTTTCTTTTGCTTCTGATCACCCACTTAGCGACTGATTACCACCTGTGATCTGGCTCTTGTTTCGCCCTAACCTTTCTGGCTAAAGCCACTCAACAACATATTTTCTGGTTCCCAGATCCCAAGATTTCCTTGCAATTCTCTTCTTTGACCTGGTTGTAGTGTTTGACATTGCTGCTTTCCTCTTTTCATGAAAACCTTGTGATCTCCATAGAATTAGGTCTCCCTTATTTACCTCATGACAGTAACAATTATACAATAGCAGTAAATATTTATTGATTACTTACTATGTTCCAGGCATTGTTCTAAATGCATTTATGTGACATTATTCATTTAATCCAAAAAAACTATATAAAATAGCTACCACTATTATGATTATTCTATTGTTATTATTCACTCCTCCACTTACCAGCTTACTTAACTTCTCTAAACTTAGTTTCCTCATCTGTATAATAGATGTGCTGGGATTGTTTTGAGGATTACTACAGTAATACATGTAACGTGGACCAGATACTAACTCATATAGGTACTGTAAGTAGTTACCTGCGCTACTCCCACTATCCATCCCTCTTCCCAATTGTGGTCACAAGCCTTCTTTGTCCCACCTAGTGACTCTAAGAGTGAATTTTTCAGAAAAGAAGAGATATACCAGTATGGCTGTGTTCCATCTTCCAGTTCCACAGCTAATTATGAGCAGCATATTAATGGCTCTGTAAGCTTGTTTTATTTTTTAATTTCAGTACTGTATTAGTTTGGTAGGGCTGCCATAACAAAGTACCACAAACTGAGTGGCTTAAACAACAGAACTTTATTATCTAACAGTTCTGAGGCCAGAAATCTGAAACCAAGGTGTTGGCAAGGCCGTGCTCTGTCTGACGGGTCTCCCCCCTACTCTCTCTCCTAGCTTCGGATAACCCCTTGACTGGTGGCGGCATACCTCCAGGTGTTACCTGGCATTCTCCCTGTGTGCGTGTCTGAGTCCAAATCTCTGCATTTTATAAGAACATCAGTCATACTGGATTAGGCACCCACTCTATTCCAGTACGACCTCGTCTTAACTAATTATATCTGTAACAACCCTATATCCAAATAAGTTCATATTCTGAGGTACAGAGGGTTAGGACTTCCAACATGTGAAGGGATACACAATTCAATGCATTGGAAATACCCAGGTATCCAACTTTAGTAATTTGGCATTTTACTTAGAAGTACCTTGAACACTAGGAAACAAATAAGTTTTCTGTATTTTCCATATGTCTATGACAGCTTTTTAAATATGATACCTAGCTGATGTTAGTATTATCCAAAATATGACCATATTTACCTAATGGAATTATTTTCTCCATTTATATTATGAAATATTTAATACCTACAGAATACCAACAAATATTTAATTTGAATATCAAATATGTAACATAGTCATGAGTTACAAAGCATACCGGTGAATCAGACATGTTCCTACAGCCCAACTTAAAAAATGAAACATTATAGAATATTTTTTTACATTCATGTTTCATATTGAAGAAATTATATTGAAATTAAGATTAAATTAGATATGATAATAATGCTGTGTTCTGATAGACCTGGAACAAGTTATTAACCTCTACAAAGCTCTTTTACCTGCTCAGTAAATAGGAATGATTATGGTTACCTACCTTACAGGGTTGCTGTGATCATTAAATGTGATAATGTATGTAAAGTACTTAGAACATAATAAATATGCAATAAATACTGTATTGTTATTCATAGAATGAGAAATGAGTAAAGAAATTCAGATTGTTTTTAACTGGCATTTTTTCCTGATCGTAGCTCTCAGTGTTTCTTCATTTGTTTCATATTATTTTTATAATTTTGTCAAGATCAAACATAATACATCAATGTAACTACAATTTAAATCTCACAAACTTACTCCAAAAGGAAAAAAATGGGCCTAAAAGAATATTTGTCTCCATGATTATATATTGCTCAGAATGCTAGTTTCTTCTGTGTTTTTAATACATAAAGGGTTCCTTTTGTATTTGGAAGTCTTAAGTTCCAAAATTTGAGTATCAAATAGTAATTTCAGTCTGAATTATTTATACATACATCTTTAGGATATCCTGTTTTATTTTATAGCAAATGACTATATATAATTGTTTTCTACTCTAGAAAGGAAAAGCACTTGGTGTATTGCGAATTTTGTTAATACAAACAAGATATGTGTTAGAGTATATCTCATAAAATATCTTTTCTTTCTTTATTAAGGTCCCCTTGGAAAGGACTTCCGGAACTGACCAATGAAAATGGCCAATATTGCCCTTTCAGCTGTGAAACACAAGCCTGGTCAATTGCTGCTATTCTTGAAACTCTTTATGACTTATAGTTGATTCATGGATTTATCAAATAGGCAGTCACTTGTATTATGGAATTCAAGTCCATAATATGATGTAAATGCTTTGTATGCACAGGTTCCAGTCATTTAAAAAATCTCATTCATATAACACTTATGCCCAATTAGGTAAGACTTTAAACTCATTGATTTTTCTTTTTTTTCTTTAATGTACAGAGATAGCTTTTGATTTGAATCAGAAAGAAAAATTAGCATTACCAATGGAATATTTTTCTGTTTAATTCAGGAAGTATTCTTCAGATGAGTTTGAAACCCAGAGTTTGAAAAAGAAAAATATGTAATATTCTATTTGTACAAAAGTAAAAATGACATATGAGAATGTAATAATGAAGGAATTGGAAAAGTATCTTTAAATTATGATCTATCTTTTCTTCACCAACAATAGATACTGAATAGGCTGTGGTCAGTTAATGCTTTCATCTTTCCCTGTATTATTCCTGGCACCTTCCATAGTGCATTCAATAAGTATTAGCTGAATGTTGAGTCATGGAAGTGTCCACCTGCAACAATTATGTTCATAATTGGAGCAGAGATGTTCATAATGTGCTTGTATATTTTCACTGATATGTCAATATGAATGCCAACAGTATACTGAACATAATTTGCTTGTGCAAATGATGCATAGGCTTTGTGGGGGAAAAAATGCAAACATTAGGAATTTATTTTCTAAAAATAGTTTTGTAAAATTAGACTGGAGATCCAGTTTCCTACTATGAGATGGTTTACATTTTCAAAATGAAAACTGTTGGGCATATTTATGAGAACTTTAAAAAAAGAAAAACGCTATATTAATTTTCTAAACCCTAGCAATTATTTTTAGTTTGTGTGTACAAATCTATTGATAGACCGTAGTAGATAACTAGTTTCCTGTTAACTAAAACCTATATTGACAAGTTTAGCATTAAGAACAATCTGAATATAATAAATATATAGATATGAATTCAGTAGCTATCTTCAATTCAATAAAATCATTTGAAAAGGTCTTCCTATTATTTTAAGATACCTTAAATCTGAGACAAATCAAAAGGAGAAAAGTTTTTACATTTATATGAGTTAACAATTTGAATAGTACTTATTTTCTGATTGGGATTTTTTTTTTTTTTTTACTGTTTTAGTTTTTGTCCGAAGAAAACACGTAAATTAGATCATTATGCTTTCAGCTGAAAGAAAATAGTTGCAAAAACCCTTTCATTGCTTTTTAATATTACTCAGTGGTGTATTTATTAACAAAATAATGGGTAAGTAATACTTTTCTCAGTTAAAGTTCAACCCAACCACCTTAACTATTACTAAGAAATAAAAATAAAGTAGAAAAACAAGTAAACCACAACTTCTGAATAGGAAAAATATATAAATGCTTCAGATTCAAATACCCATGCTCAAAAGCTCATGCAATTTACTGTAAGCTTACCTGCACATCCTTCCTCCAAGCTCACCTTACTTCAGAATAGTTTTAACTAGTTTATTTTTCTGGTTTCACAACCTAAAGCAGATTAAATCCTACAAATTTAAGAACAGTTGTGATAGTAATCTGACCACTATCTATACATGCGTTAGTTTCCAATTTCCCTTCCTTCTTCATTGCTCGATGTATACATAACCTTCTTTAACCTGTGTGGTTAAAAGGAATGACCTTTAACAGAGGGAACCATTAGCCGTGAAAGGTTTATGTAGTTATATTGTGCTACTTTATTGAAGGTGGTAACAAAGGTAACCAAAAACCAGTAAATGAAAACCATATTCAATGAAAGCAAGAAGTAGTAACTGAAAGTTAAATGTGATAAATAAATTAATAATAAATAAATAAATAACATGAATGTCTAAAACATGGCCAGCCGTATTGGGTTACATGTAGTAGGGCAAATACCCACCTCAGTAACTTTTTAAGATATTGTGTTGCACTAGAAAATTAAGCATTTCATATTCCCAATAAGGAATATTAATGAAAGAACATTGTTATAATCTGCATGGTCTATTTTAAAGTTTAAGAAGGCATGTTACACATTATTTCATGAATGATAGTTATAACAGTTTTAACCTTTGGAGGGATAAATGTCATTTGACTGAAGCACATTTAAATAGAATACTTCATTCCTGAGTTATTTTGGGTGAGATGCCATTATATTACATTTTGACAATCTTAGGCTAACATGAGAAGTAAGTTTGCCAGTTTTACCAGTATGCTGTGATAATTTGATAAGTTTCAGAGATAATTGAGGAAACAAGAGCTGTCATCCCATCTTTGAACATTATAACCTATGTGAACTGTAATCCATTTCTAGTATTTCTTCAACTGTTCTCTCTAGTAAGCAAATGTAATTTTTATGTCTGTATGCCAAGAAATAAAAATCTTTTCTAAAGGCCCATATTTTGCTTTCATTTCATTATTTACCAATGAATTTGTTGGTGATGACCACTACCATTTATTCAAGACTTGCCTTTCTAAGGGATGTTTATCTTTTTCCAGGGTATATGGGGGACAGAAAAAGGAGGAAAAATTTTAGGCTGTTGTAGGAAAACCTTTCTTGAACAGTGAATATAATTATCACTGCTCAGAGGACATTTGGGATCCTCTGATTTGGCCCCAATCTCTTCCCAGTCTTGGTACAATGACTCTCTGCTCTTTCCAAAGCTAAATACTTGTCTCTGAGCCTTTGTTTCTTCAACTGTAAACACAAGGATGATGGCAAAACCTACCCAGCAAAGCAGTAAGGATTCATGAAGGCAATCCATATTGTAGTATTAAGTTTCAGCTCATGTGACAGAACCCCAATACCAGTGATCTCAGTGCGATAGAGGTGCAGAGCTGTGCGGTCTAAGGCTGACACAGTGCTTCCTGGACAGCAGGAACCAAGGCTTGCATCTAATGACAAAGAATATTATGCCATTTCCCAGATACAGTTTTTTCACATGAGCTCATTTTCTCCTAGATGTTGTAAGACGTATGATAATCTATTCACTTAATTTTAATCAGTGGTTTCTCCAACTTACTTTTTCTCTTGACTTCCCAAAGCTTAATCCTGGGGAAACAAAAATTTAGAGATTACATGTAATCTCTAAGTTTTTAGCCATTTCCCAGATACAGAGAAAACTGTATCTGGAAAATGGCATAATATTCTTTGTCATTAGATGCAAGCCTTGGTTCCTGCTGCCCAGGAAGCACTGTGTCAGCTTTGGATTGCACAGCTCTACACCTCTATCTGAATTAATTCCAAATTTCATAGGTTGGTTAAAATAAATTTTATAATTCATAATTTTATACTTATATTCTAAAAGTGTATAATTTAATGCTTACATTAAATTTTAAAGATACCAAGTGGCTATTATTGAAGTCTTTACTAACAAAGCAAAATGGAATTTTGTACAGATTCTTGTTGTTCGGGGTTTAATTGATTTTAATTCTCCTTTCATCTTTCTCATTGAACAAAGGGAAAAAAATGTATTTCAGTAGACAAATACAGTAGTTTGGAATAAACATCTAGAGTGTAGTTGCTTAATAGACTTCCCTTATTTCTGAGTCTTTAGAAAAGATAAGCTTTTTTTTCCCCAGGCAACCTCAAAGCACTAACTCTAATTCCTAGAGTAACTTTTTACTGGAGGTTCATTTAACTTACTGGAATTAAGCTCTGTTCACTCAGAAATAAGCAGACCTTGCTCCCATCAGGGGGTCTTCATTTCTGTGTTTCTCATAATGTGATTATTCTATTGGGTCAAATATGATTCCAGTGCTTAAAAAGATGCCATTTTCCATAAAACATGGTCCCCTAAGCCAGTACTTCCCAAACTTTTACATGTGTGGAACCTACAGAAGATATTTAAGCAGTATTTTGTGGTAAACATGAGGAGGATACTTCTAGCTGGTGAGAGCTAGTCAGAGATGGATTGCCTGAAGAGCCAAGGAAAACCATCTAATCGCACTTAGAACCTTTCATCATAGGATCCCACATTGGTTAGGAAACTGCTTTCAACACAGCCGATAACTGCTTCACCTTGTGCCCAACCTACGAAAGAAAAAACCATTTATAATTAAAGGGGAAAATGTTTGTGCTGTAGTTGTTAAAAGGGTGGCTTCTCTGTTCAGTCTAGAAACTTCTTAAGGAATGAATGTTCAAAGGTAATTGCTTTCCTAGAGAAAAATTGTTTTAAAATATATTCCCAATATAAAAGTATATAACATATACATACCTTCAAAGAAGAATAAATATACAGCCATGAACCTAAACAGAGTGGAAACTAAAATTCCCTGTCCCTGTTTTAAACAATACTGAGACCAAGCAAAGATATCTGCATATTCCTGGAATTCTTGCTCTAGGGAGTTAAAGACTAAACCAACTGAAACAGGTTGCTCATCAATATTTTTCCGATTATCATCTTGCTCTACAAGATTTGCTTCGAAACACTTGCCTCATTTTATTCCCCAAAAAGAAAGCTATTATTTTATAAACTGACTAACCCCAAACAGCTCCACATAATAGGACCTGTCTTAAATATCACCAGCCAGGTCTCAATATTCTATATACACCTTTCCCTAATTTACTCCTTTTGAGAAACTACTAGGACTCTGTTAAGATGGTTTTCCTTGCTGCAATATGTAATGTAAGCTCAACAGGTTTTTTCTGGAGGTATTTGTGGGAGAATTTCAAAGAACCAAAAGGACATTTAAAACTGAAAAAAATGTGATATCTGACATTAAGAATTTATTAGCTTGTTTTAACAGCAGACTGAACACAGTAAAAGCACAGTGAATGCAAAGGTCAATCAGTGAAAAATCCACAAACTGAAGTACAGAGAGAAAAATGGGAAGTACAGAACACAGCCTGTGAGATGTGTGGGACAGGGTAAAAAAAGTCTAGCGCACATGTAATTGGAGCCAAAGGAAAGAGGAGCAATAATGTGGCAGAAAGACTATTTGAAAGATAATGAGTAAGAATTTTCCAAAACTGGTGAAAAAAATCAGTCCCCATATTAAAGCAGCTGAGCGACTGCCAAGTAAGATGAAAAGAAAGCCACAGGTAGATACACTGTAACCAAACTTCTGAAAATGAAAGATAAATAGAAACTCTTAACACATCCATAGGAAAAAGAAAAAATGACCTAAATTAAAACATTATTAAATTCTTATGTAGGTGTGTTCTATAGTCTTCCAATTAGCATCAACTTGAAATAATTTTTTTAACCAATTATGAATAGAGTATTAGTCTATTGGCTAGTGATCATTCCTACTTATATACATTGTTTTCCAAAATGGACATTATGTTAAAACAAAATACATTTCCAAAGAGAACATTTTATCTTCCCCTTGACTTCCATTATAAAATTGGAAAATTGTTTATTTGAAAAGTTAAATACATGATCAGGCTGAAACTTTGGAAGAAGGAATAACTATAGTGCACTAACCAGTTGATAATTTCTTTAGGATCTTGCACTGCCATTTCAGTACCACAAATTTCTCCTTTCCCAGTATGGTGTGGTGTTTGTTACTCACAGCAATTGGAACTAATTCCTTTCCTTTTTCCTTTCTGCACAGGTTATTAATATAACAAGGCATTTCATGCTTCACCCATAGGTGGAGCCATCTGCTATGTAGAATCCCATTAGGATAGTCTTAAAAGTTTGGTGCTTCCAAGGCAGATGAAATAAATGTGCTGTTCATGAATTTTTTAGTTAATGTCTTTAGTTGTTTAAAATACATCTTTCTTCTGGCTCTGCAAATTAAGCACATTTTCACATTCACTGAAATAAATGGTGTTTGTGTATGTTTCATTGTTTTTGTTTTTGCACAAAATATTTCTTTTCATTAATGACCTGAGGATTATGTAATTGATGACTTATAAGAAATTCTAATTGCAATAGAAATGTGTGGGAATAAAATGGAATGCTATGGAACATTTCTCTCACAAGGCATATTGCACAATCAAAATTAAGTTGATAGGCAAATGTACAATTTGTGACTGATTAGTCTTCACACAACAGGAATTTGTGTTTAGTTTTGATCATGTTGCTACAGAAATTGTTGACGAGAGATAAGGCAAAGCAATAGCAGTCAATAAACCTTTTTCTCAGTTAAAAAAAAATTAAGTTGACAGCCAAAGCAAACTTATTAAATCAATTTCTGAGTGAAAGGTAACTTCTGTTCTCTACTGTCAGTGCTAAATTCCTGAGCCATAGTGTGGGTATTAATATCCAAATATAGCTTTTGTTTAGTTAGCTCTTTATTTATAGGGAAACCTCATGAAAGACCAAGAAAAACAAAGATAGCAGCAACTTTTTAAAATAATATGACTAATACACATATGAAAATTGTGTCATGATCTTCCTTCTATAATGCACAAATTGGGTGACCTTGAGGCAAATTCAATTCTATGCACATGTACATCTCGGAAGTTAAAACGGGTGTGCTTTAGGGTTCTGAGGTAAAAAGTATATAGGATTTATCATTTCTGATGTCTTGGTCAGTTACTCTTAAATTAAACTATCCTCTGTTATGGGCACCTACTTATGCCCAGTTCTGTGTTCTTAGGGTGATCTGCTATTGATACTCTAAGATGCCTTCTGCTTGCCCATGGAGCTCCAACCTTCCCACAAACCATTGTTTTTTGGTTTTAATGTATGGACATTTTAATTTTTGTTTTATTTCTGATGTATGGACCATAATTCATAAAATCTTTTGAGAATTACGATGGGAATTTTGAGGTTTCCCCTATCAGAAGGATGTTCCATGAGTGTATTTCTTGTTTACCTATGCATATTATAGCTTGCATATAGCATCTGATCAATAAATTAATGACCAAATTTTTTTTCTCAGGACTGACAGCTGAGGAACACAGTGACGGTGAAACATCCATAATAGAATTGAAATTTGACTTCACAGCTAAACAAATATTGTATCCTATCTCCCAGGACTTACAATTCACAGTCTGATATACATACAAAGCTGGCAAGCTTTTTAGCTCACTTTTAGGAGCTCTTCATGGAAGAGGCGCACTGGAATTGGGATTTGGAAAACAGTGGGGTTTAGATAGGCCTAACCAGGCTTACTTAACAAGTAGAGGGATGAAGGTGAGAGTGAGTGTGGTATGTCTGTGGAACAGGCAACACCTTTCATGTCAGGATATGTTACAAGAAGGATACAGGACACGGGCCTTGAAAAGCAACCTAAAATAAATACAAATCAGTTACAACCATCTTTCCTCTTTTTGACTAAAACAAAAGAGAGAAACTACCAAGCATGGATATGGAGTAACTGGAACTTTCCTACACTGCTTATGGGAGAGTAAATTGGCACAGCTACTTTGGAAAATGATTTGGCATTTTCTAATGAGCTTAAAACTTATCAGTAGTTTAATTCTTGGCATATACCCAAGAG